GTGCTGGCATAACCCAGTGGAAAATTGTCCCTCTTCCTGATTGTGTAATCTTTTGTCAAGGAATCACAGGCTGCTTTGGTCTTAGTCCTATTTTTAAATCCATAGGTATAAACACCCTGATCTCTTCCCAAACTCAACTCAACGTTTGCAGCAAGCTGTTGATGTCAGGCATTCTGCATAATCCGTTTTCCAGACTTACAGCCCGGCTAGAATTGGATTTGGCTGATCGGATTTCTTTCGGGGCTAAATTTGGCAACGGGATGGCTTGGAAAAGGCAAATGCCATGTGATTTTTCTGGGCTACCATCTGCTCCCAATGCTTGATGCCCCTGAAGTTGGGCAGGATTCAAGGTGGAACAGTCAGGTTAGAAAGCTGGAAGATGCCATTCCTGGAGAAACTGCTGAGCAGCAGAAATAAAAGGCTGAGAGGGAAAGAGGATCACTGCACCCAGCTCCGTGCTTAGGCTGGCTCTGGGTCCCTAAAATGATGTTCAGAGAGGGGAGGCTCATCCCTGGGCAGCTGGGGCTCAGTGACTGCCCAGAGGGAAGGTTCGTGTCCAGGTCATTCCCAAAGCACCTGTGTGCAGCTCTGCCAGTATGGGAAAATTCCTTAAAATTAATTTCTTTCTTTCTTTTCTTTTCTTTCTTTCTTTCTCTCTTTCTTTCTTTCTATTTCTTTCTTTTTCTCTTTCTTTCCTTCCTTCTTTCTTTCTTTTTTTTCCTTCCTTCCTCCCTTCCTTCCTCTTTCTTTCTCTCTCCTTCTTCCTTCCTTCCTTTTCTCTTCTCTCTTCTCTTCTCTTCTCTTCTCTTCTCTTCTCTTCTCTTCTCTTCTCTTCTCTTCTCTTCTCTTCTCTTCTCTTCTCTTCTCTTCTCTTCTCTTCTCTTCTCTTCTCTTCTCTTCTCTTCTCTTCTCTTCTCTTCTCTTCTCTTCTCTTCTCTTCTTTCTCTTCTCTTCTCTTCTCTTCTCTTCTCTTCTCTTCTCTTCTCTTCTCTTCTCTTCTCTTCTCTTCTCTTCTCTTCTCTTCTCTTCTCTTCTCTTCACTTTTCTCTTCTCCTTCTTCTCTTCTCTTCTCTTCTCTTCTCTTCCTTTCGCTTCTCGTCCTCTCTCTTCTCTTCTCTTCCCTTCCTCTCTTCTCTTTCCTCTTCTCTTCTCTTCCTTCACTCTTCTTTCCTTCTCGTCTCTTCTCTTCTCCTTTCCTCCTTTTCATCTTCTCTCTCTTACTCTTCTCTTTCTCTTCCTCCATCTTCTCTCTTCTCTTTCTCTTCTCTTCCCTCTTCATCTTTCTATTCCTCGTCTTCTCTTCTCTTCTCTTCATCTTCGCCTTATCTCCTCCTTCTTCTCTTCTCTTCTCTTCTCTTCTCTTCTCTTCTCTTCTCTTCTCTTCTCTTCTCTTCTCTTCTCTTCTCTTCTCTTCTCTTCTCTTCTCTTCGCTTCTCTTCTCTTCTCTTCTCTTCTCTTCTCTTCTCTTCTCTTCTCTTCTCTTCTCTTCTCTTCTCTTCTCTTCTCTTCTCTTCTCTTCTCTCCCTTCCTTCCCTTTCCCTACTATCCTCCCTTCTCCTTTCCTTTCTTTTCTTTCTGTTCTTCCTTTTCTTCAAAGGAAAAAGCTCCTCGGAACTATAGGAAGTATCTCAAACGCATCACCCTCAGATATCCTGTATTTAAGGCAGCCTGCTGGTGTTCTGGGATCCGGGCTGTGCTGCAGGAACACGGGATCAGCGATGTGCAATGGAAAAAGGACCTTTGGAAGTCTGAGAGCGAGTTTTGTGCCATTTCTTTGCCTTTTGGGTCTCCCGCCCCTCCTCTCGGGGATACACAGGGGGATATTTCTGCCGTTTCAGCTCATCATCGCCTTTCCCTCTGATTTTGGGATGGGCCGGGCCCATCCCGGCGGATTCCCGGGATTCCCGATGGAGCCGGCAGGGGGCGCTGCCGGACACGGGAGCGGGACCTCGGGGAGTGTCCAAAGGGCTCCCAAAAACCAGGGACGGGGAGGGTTCGCTCGGGCGGGCAGGGACAGGACGGGCGGGAACGGCTGCGAACCGACACGGGGGAGACTGAGAGGAGATATCAGGGAGGAATTCTTTGCTGTTCGCTGGCATGGGCTGCCCCGGGAGCTGCCCCATCCCTGGGAGTGTCCAAGGCCAGGTTGGACGGGGCTTGGAGCAACCTGGGCTGGTGGGAGGTGTTTTTCAAGCATTGCAAGGGGCTGCCCAGGGAGGAGGTGGTGTCCCCATCCCCGGAGGTGTCCAAGGAAAGCCTGGATGTGGCACTCAGAGCTCTGGGCTGGGGGACAAGGTGGGCATCGGGTACAGGGTGGAGCTGATGATCCCAGACATCTTTTCCAACCTTAATGATTCCATCATTCTGTGCCCACCTCATCACAGGGGAGTTGGACTAGGTGACCTTTAAACGTCCCTTCCAACCCAAACTGTTCTATAACTCTATAATTTTAGTGCAGCTACAAACCTGGCTCCAGGGGCTGGTCCCAGGTCACCCCAAAGCAGAGGCAGAACTGGGACCTGGGATCAGACCTGCAGCGTGGCCGTGCAGCCTCCCAGGCCCATCCCTCCCCAAAAATCCTCCCCCACACTCCCCAGGGAGGCTGTGCTGCCTCCCAGCACCAGGGACATTGTCACAGGGGTGAGCAATGTGCCTGTGGCACCTCAACAGCCACCACTATTTGGAAATAAATTAATTATGCATGAGCTGGGGCCAGGAGAGTCACAACATTAGTTTCTAATTATTTCTTATTTGCTTTCTTAGAGGCTGAAAAAACATCCTTTGGAACAGAGACACTGAGGTTTGAAAGGTGTCTTTGGCCTGCTGGCAGTCCTGACACAGCCTTTTTAGAATAACTTTGTCTTTATAAATAGAATTTGGGCTTGTCAGAGCTGCTTTTTGGGTGCAGAGGAGGGGCTGAAGGAAGCACAGGAGGGACTGGAGCTCAGCTCAGCTCCCTCCTTGCTCTGTAAAGCCAAAGTGCTGTAAGTTTTGTGCTGGTCATTTGTGGGGGAGTTAATTGTGCTGCAAGAAGGAGTGTTACACACTGAGTAAACAGCTCAGCCCACCTTTAATAAGCAGTTGCAGCTTCTCTCTCTTGCACTGGTGTGAGTGGACAGGTTGGCCCATCAGAGGGTTCCTTTCCATGGTGTGTTTTTGTGCCTGACAACAACCCCAGAGCCTGAACCTGCTGCTCTGTTTGGGTGGGAAATAGGGCAGGAGGGAGTTGTGGGGCTGCAACGAAGGCAGGAAAACAGGATGTGCCTGGAAATGTGGGTGGGTAAAGCAGAGCTCTGGAAGAAACAGTTGTAGGACTACCCAGGGGGTGGTAGTTTTACTAAAGGTTTTACTAAGGGTTTTACTGCCTGACTTGATGCAGATGAGGTACAGAAGAGCAGGCAGCATCCATGGGATGCAAGAACCTGGGAGCAGCTCCTTTTCTACATTGATCCTGAAGAAATCAGACCTCTCCCCACAGCTTGTACCTGTTCTTGTAAAAGAACTATTTTAATAAAGTCAAAACAAGGGGTTTTGCACTTGCATGAGCCAGTTAATCTGTCCCGCTGGAAACAGAAGGATTGATTGAAAGACAGAAGAAGCCCAACCTGGAATAATGTTGTAAAGCATCTTTATTAGTTCACTACAAGACTGGAAGTACAAAAGCTTCCAGGCAAAGCACTGCCCAGTGAACAAGACGCACAGGAATAATGCTCAGGAAGTTGCAAACACCCAGTGCTAAATAACAAGACTTTCAGCTGGGCAAGAAACCCTTCCTGGTGTCCTGTATTGCCTCACCATGCCTGAAACTTGCTCCCATCAGACGGGGAAGCTCCTCTCCAGGAGCAGCCAAGGCTCAGCCCCGGCTCAGGGATGGGGGTGGGCTGGGGCGAGGCCATCACTCCCACAGCCACCCTTGTGCGTGTGCGGGGTCCTGGGGGCAGCCCCTGCTCGTGGCACGAGGCTGCTGGGCCCCAGGGGTGCTCTGAGAAGGGGTTTTTTACTCCGGGGGGGACTGTGTGTGATGCCGTGTCAGAGGTGATGGGACCCAGGCTCGGGTACTCGCGGATGCTCGTGGCGCGGGCGCTGCGCTCGCCCGCCTCTAGCAGCTCACCCACCCCTCCAAAATGCACGCAGGCTTTGGGGTTAAAACCACCTTGATGCTCAAGTCTAACTCACAGGGCAGTTTGATTTTGCTGTCCAGGTGGTAAAACGTGCAGGAATATTCCTACAAATGTGCAAAGCTTCTCCTTCTCAGGTTACTGCTGTTGCAGTACTTACGTCTGGTTCTACTTGCCTGGAAGTACTTATTACTTCCAGATACTTCAAGGAGAAAAATGCCCTTAAAGTCCAGGTGGTTGTTTAAAAAAGGCACCATTTGATGTTTTTAATGCTTTCAAACAAAGAAAAGCCACTGCATTCACCCCTCCCCTTTTTCTAGCTCGTAAATGTTTTTACCTTACATTATCACTAATCATTGCTAATAATAAATCAAAGAACAGGTGACCAAAAATGGTGACTGCTTGCTCTGGAAATATAAACGGGAGGGGAAGGTTTAGTTTTGCTTTTCTAGGACCCCTCTCACTGGGGCCAAGTGCAGGGCAGCCCTGGGGTTTGTCCCCTGCCAAGGCTGCAGAGGCTGGTGTTGGCCACAGCCTAAATTTTGAGGCGCTGTCTGTGTGTTCTCAGGCTGCACAACCTCGTGCTGCTCCCCTGCCTGGGGAGGTGACATTGTCCCCCCACTCTGCTCGACAGCAACGTCCAGAGGGCCCTGCACAGCTCAGGGCTCGTGGCAATCCGGGGTGGGAGGTGTGTTTTCCATGTGTCCACATCCCCTCCTTGCAGCAGCTTTTCCTCTAGCGCCGGGCAGGGCCCCCCGGCTCCCCCAAACCATCTGCCGGGGGAGCGGCACCTTCAGAGCAGGTCCTGGTCCCTGCACTAACAGGGTAGCCTGTGGCCACACACTGGCACTGGGACAGTTCACCAGCTCCCACAACCACGACACGAGTTAATAATGCAAGGGGGGAAAAGTGGAGGCGCAGGGAGAGCGTCCCAGGGGGTTACTTGTCAGCCGCTGCCTCCTCCAGCTCGTGCGGGTTCTTCCCGTCGTTCTGGATCAACCGGACGATGTGTGTCAGGTCCAGGCTGCGGGTGAGGATGTCCAGCAGCATTTCATCCTTCTGCACGCCCTCCATGAACTCTTCCAGGGACAGCTCACCTGCGGGAGCACGTTCAGGAAGGGGCTGTCAGATCCTGCAGCCTCTCTGACGGTGTCTCAGCAGCCCCCCCCAGGAGTTGTACAGACTCAAAGTTTGGGGTCTTAAATATGTGAGTTGTGCACCCCAAACCCTGCCACAGATCCCCACCCTGCCAGTAGGACAAGGGGCAGTTTGCAGTGTCCCCTTGGGCCAGCTGCAGCCCACGGAGGGCACAGGGAGCTCAACCTTCACAGAGAGCCACCCTCTGCCAGCTCTCCCCATATCCTGGTGTTTTGGGACGCCCAGCACCTGGAATTGCTCTGGCAGGTAAGGGGGAAGGTGGGAGCATTGGAATTGCTTAGGGAAGTCCCTCACCATCTCCATTTATGTCGATTTTGTCGAACACCATGTCTGTGAACTCCTCAGCCGACATCGTTTCGTTGCAGCGGTTGATGGCTCGAATGGCCTGGAGGGAACGAAGGACACAAGGGAATTACTGAGTGCTCTGCAGGTTGTGTATCCATCAGCACAAGTGGCCAAGGGACCTGAGACACCGGAGACCATGAGAAGCTAAACTATTTTGCAGGCAGTTAGGTTTTGAAAGCAATAACCTGGAGTTTAAAATCACTTCCAAAGGCAGCCAATGCTTTACAAGATTTAGTGGCCATGCTGGGATAAACCAGGAGCTGCTCACCTCTGAAAACCCTTAGATTAAATTCAAGTGCTTATCTCAGTCCAAGTTTCAGTGGATGGGGTTAAACAGCCAGGAGAAGACCAGGGGCTGCTGTGTGTCAGAGTGTGCAGATGCCATGGGAGGTGTGGGATGTTGGAGACAGGTCCACCAGGGAGGACTGGCAGAGGACAAGCAGCAGGTTTGGCCAGTGCCTACTAATTTACCATGGAATTAGCTGGGTTGGAATGTTCCTCTTACAACCTCTCTGTCTACCTGCCTGTAATGACCACCTGTGATAGAGATGGAAAAGCTGAGCCCACTCACTTTGATGATGTTCAGCAGCTCTCCCCGGTCAATGCAGCCGTTCCCATCCACATCATAGAGCTTGAAGTACCACCGAAGCTTCTGGTCCACCTTCCCTTTCAGGACCAGGCTCAGAGCTGCCACATATTCCATAAAATCTATGTAGCCATCCTGAAAGCAGAAGGTTAGAAGCTAAGATGAGATTAAAAGCAGAGAGTCAGGCAGTGTGTGATTTTCCTGGTCACTTCTGGAGGTCCCTGCTGGAACTGGTCCCCACTGGTGGCCTCCCCCTTGAGACAGGGGCTTGTGGAGCACAGCAGAGGGCAGGGGGGTGTGGGTCCCCTGCATGCCCCGTGGTTAAAGCCAAGGCTCCATGTTAATCTGTGCAGAGCCATTACAGAATTAGAGAATCACTGAAGTTAGAAAAGGCCTCCAAGATCATCAAATCCAACCTTGGACCGTTATTTGTTGGGAAGGAGTGAACTCGGTGGGTGTTCCTGGCTTGGGCACTAAGGAAGCCTCCAAAGCCTGTGCTCAGGGGATCTCTTTATGCAAAGCAGTGGTAATTCAGGGGTCAAAGAGGCACAGGCTTATGCAGATGAGTCCTGGTGGATTACACAACCTCATCCTGCCTGCACACATCTACAACTCTTTTCTGCTGCAAGGGGGTCTTGGATGAAAAAATCCCAGAGAGGAATAACATGAGGAGTCACCCCAGCATGCTGGTGACATCTGGGCCTAGATGCTGCTCTGTCCCTGTGCCATTTCTGTATTTGCTTCACATTTGGTCACGTCAGAAGCACAAACACTTTTATCTTTGACTTTCCTCCGAGGTGTTTGCCCACCTCCAGCTCCTGCCATGGCATCAGGAGACCTTCAGCTGGACCCACAGAGGGCTTGCTCCCAGGGCTGTGGATCACTGCAGAGCTGCTGGGATGAGCTCCCAGGTCACCAGCCTGCCTCCAGACACTGCCCATGATGTTCACAGCTCCTGTAAGCTTTGCTGAAGTGCCTCCTGCCCCCCACAGAGCATTGCCATGGCACTTGGAAGGAAAATGGCACGTGGGACGTGGCACGTACCTCCCTGGAAGTGCTCAAAAGGATGTGGCACCTGGGGATGTGGGTTAGTGGTGAACATGGAGGAGCTGGGTGAAGGCTTGCACTTGATAATCTTAGAGAGGTCTTTTCCAAGCCTAATGATTCCATCATTCTGTACTACCAACCAGGGACAGGTCATTAGAGCATAAGCCAGGGGTTTGTCAATGAACAAAGCCAGGGCTCCGCCGGCGGTTCAGGAGGAGATCATCTGCTTTATCCCACTGCTGCAGGAGCCAGATTAGGTATAAATAGCTGCTAAGCCCCATTCCCAGCAGGATTTCCAGTGCATCAATTCCCTTTTCAGGCATGCATTGAAACATGGGGCAGTGAGCAAGGTAAAGGCCAAGGCTCAACCAAGCACCTGAAGGATTTGAGGCCTGATTTGCATTTTTTTCAATGGGATTAAGGCCATTAAAGCCTTTGAGTTGCAATAAAACATATTCCTCATCTCACAGGAGGCGCAATTTCAAATCATTTGCAAGTAAAGGAGGATGTTGTTTCCTCTCAGAGACTCAGCATCCAGCTGCTCTTCTGGCAGCACTCCCAAACATGTCCAGGTGCTCCAGGACTGCCCCGTTCTGGGGGTCCAGCACAGCAACAGCCCGAGGAGCAAAGCCTCCCTCCCCACAGGGAACAAAGGACCTGAGCTCCTTATCACAGGGGACAGAGCACATGGCAAAAAAAAAAATCAATGAAACTAATCCATTTATAATTTAAAGCAATGCAAAACAGACCCGATCTGTTCTGTAAACTGTGGCTCGTGGCTTGGGAACTCGCTGTCTCTGCATGAATGCAGCCCTTGTTCTCACACCACTTGTTCCTTACTGTCACAACATTTGATACTTAAGGATTAAAGGGCACTTCATTTTAAAGGGATCACAGCCTGCCAGATAAAACCCCACTGTTTTAATCACTTAAAACCAAAAGGAAAATATCAGCTCTGGGAGAAGTCTGCTTTCTCGCAGAACAGGCAGCGGGCGAAGGGTTTTTTTGCTGGCATTTTTCACCTCCCAGAACTGATTTTGCAATTTATGAGGCCACAGAAAATCAGGCTGTGCATACTCAGGACGTTTTCAATATCACACACACCCAAACACACCGCGGGGGATCACAGGGAGCAGAGCACAGCCCATCCCAGCGCAGCTGAGCGGGAAGGACAATATTTACCTTATTGAAGTCAAACGTCTCAAACATTTGCTCAACGTATTTGTTCGCTGAAGGACTCAGGTTTTTCAAGCCAAAAAACTGTTTGAACTCGTAGAGGGTGAGCTGGCCAGAAGGACACTCTGTCATGAACTTCTTATACCACTGGTGGCACTCGGTGGTGCTGAGCTCCTCCACGGTTTTCCCGTCCATGTTCCCCATCTCCACACCGAGGGCTGGTGGCTTTGCAGCCAAAAAAAAAAAAAAAGGAGGTTTTGTGAAGCCTGAGAATAAAAATTCTCAAAGTTCTGCTTCTTGCCTTCAAAGTTCAGGTGCTCCCAGCACTCTGCAGGCGTCACAGTGTCAGGGAGAACCAGCTGCCTGGTGTGAGGGCTGTACCAATTCCGTGGTGGATGCAGAAGACACGTCCTCCCGGGAAAACTCAAAAGCACAAAACCCTCTTTGGGCAAGAGGGTGACATTTAAGTACCCAGCAAATCCCTGCCCAGCCAATGAGGCTCAGGGGGGTGACGGGCTCCTGCCAGGCATTAAGAGTTCAGGGTTAAAATAGAAAAGAGGTAAAATGGGGAAGTCTTGCAGATTACAGGCCCAACAGGAGATTAGGAGGTGGAATTTTCTCCTTGATGATCTAATCTCTTAATCCACTTCATTTATCATTGGGGGGGCGGGTGGACATCACATGAAAAATAAGTTTTACACCAAAATCAGAGTAAGAAGAAAGAGAGAAAACCACTCAGAATTCTCTGTGCTGTTACTGCCTTTTTGGTTTCCCTTCAGCTTGATCTGCCAGAGGATTCCAAACAGGGCTCTAGAGCCTGAAATTCAGGGAGGGGGAAGTACCACGTGAGCTCCTAGAAGAGATGCTTCTGAGGGTAAATTTGGTGTGCTGAGATAAATATAGAAACATAATTGCTTTAAATGGTAAAGCTTTAAGTGCTTTCATTGCCAGCACCAGGAAGGTGAAGGTGCCTCTCCCCCCCCAGCTGCAGGGTCCCAGTGTTCAGTCTCCCTGGTTCTGATAGTTTTCTCCTCAGAATTGTCCCACACTCTGCTCACCCCGAGAGTGTGTCCTGGTTGGTGCATAACCAGAACTTGGCTGACACCAGTGGAGTTAAATGCAGCTCCAGTTTTCGTTTGTGATGAATTACCACGAAAAAATTCTCCGTGTAAATATGAGTAAAAACAACCCAGAGGAGAAGGACGGGGGGATAAAATACATCCTCAGAACACAGCACGAGCCAAATCCTCCACTAGGATGTGACCGCTGGGTCTCTGCCCACAGGGAGTTCATCCCATAACACACATTTTTTTATATCTAGCAAGTTTAAAGACTTATCTGATGACTAAAAGAGCCCAACTCTTGCGTGGTTCAGAGCTCAGCGCTGCGTACGCGCGGAAGCGAAGTAGGAATAACTCTGCTAAAACAGGCAGGATTACACAAGCGTAAAACAGTTATGAAAAGGGAATTAGGCTGAGGAAGATAATTGGATGTGCTAATTCTGCGCTCACCGCCAGGTCCCCATCGTGCAAGAGGAACCTGGGCTCTGATCCAACACCACAGGGGACACGGCTGGAATAGCCCCGGAGCACAGAGAGGGGCTGCAGGACTGAGGTGTTCATCAGCAGCAGGAATGTTGTGCATTAAAAGTGGATACAGGCTCACCGAGTGTTTCAAGAAGCACTTGATGATGGTGTGTCCGCTTCTCTAGAGCGGGCAGTGCAAAAGCTGAACTGCTTTTGCTGCCTTCTGGAATGTGTGCCACAAACAGGACGTGCTTTTCCAGTCACGGAGAACACCACTTTGCCTGAGCCTGGGAAAGCCGAGTGAAAGAAAATGGCCTTTCAAAGAAGGAGCAGAATTTAGAGGAGCTGGTGAAATGAGAAGCTGGCTTCAAGCTGAGAGAGCTGTGGAGGCAGAGCAGCCTTCCAGTATCTGAAGGGGCTGCAAGGGAGCTGGAGAGGGACTGTTCATCAGGAATTGGAGTGACAGGACAGGGACTAGTGGGTTCAAACTGAAAGAGGGGAAATTTATGTCAGATATTAGAAAGAAATTCTTCCCTGTGAGGGGGTGGTGAGGCCCTGGCACAGGTTGCCCAGAGAAGCTGTGGCTGCCCCATCCCTGGAAGTGTCCAAGGTCAGGTTGGATGGGGCTTGGAGCAACCTGGGCTAGTGGAAGGTGTCCCTGCACATGGCAAGGAGTGAAACTAGATTGGCTTTAAGGTCCCTTCCAACCCAAACCATTCTGTGATTCTATGAAACCTTCCCAGGTTTTGCAGCCTGTGCTGGGGCCGGGCTGGTGCAGACGAGCTTGGCTGGGTGGCCACTCACTCAGTGCCCTGTGCTGCTGACACCCAGTGCCTCTGCACGAGCAGCTGCCAGTAAACGACAGGACAAGTTGGACCGGGTTTTTAGAGCAAAATCCACACTGCATATTTCTCTGGGGAGCAGTGACACAGCCTCAGCACCCACCCCTTGGCTCACGTGTTCGCCGCTTGTCATAACTCAGACACCAGTGGAAAACTGAAGTCACACCGGTTGCTGGTTTCATTGTTTGGGCTTTACTGCTTGGGCTTTATTACTTGGGCTTTATTACTTGGGCTTTATTGCTTGGGCTTTATTACTTGGGCTTTACTGCTTGGGCTTCCCTGGTCCTGACTAGAGCTTTTTGCTACGGAAGGGTCTCCATTTGCGAACGTCGGCAGGTTCCAGGTCCGTTTGTATCTTGCCATGGGTGGTGTCCTCTCGGAACTGGTACCCACAGTAGGGCCTCTGCACGGTGTAGAAGGGGCAGTACGAGTTGGAGAGTGTCCGTCGGTAGAAGACAAAGTTGAAGGAGCTGAGGGGACGTCCCCCAGTGTGGACAACAACTGGAACGAAGCGACTGGCCAAAGGCTGGTCCTGCTGCTGGTGTGCTGCAGAGGGCTTGTTCTTTGGGCTGGGCTGCGTGCTGGAGAGCTCCTGCCTTGCTTTGGTCTTCTCCATTCCCTTGGATCTCGTGTGGTCTTTGCCGGGGGCTTCTGGTGTTTCAGCCGCCTGTGGCTGAGCCCTGGAGATTCCTGCTTATCCTCTGGGGCACCTGAAGCTTTGCAGAAACATCCTCCCTGTGGAGCAAAAGAGCCAGACAAAGGCATTGTAATATTGCCCCCATGCTTTGCCATCCTCATCAGTGCTTAAGGCCCCAGTGCAAGAGTCGTGTAGTGGTGGCCAAAACCAGCAAGTTAAACAGACAAGGAGGGCTTTTTACATTACAGTGTAAATGATGAGAAGTCAAGTATTTACATTTCTTTAGCTAAAAATCTAAGGTGGTGCTGCATAAAGAGAAAGGGAGTTAAAAATCCTGTGATGTTCTGGAAATATAAAGGCAAATTACTGGAAATAAATGCTGAGGGGATGCACATGATGAGACAGGAAGGACTTGATTCTCTTGACTGGCATTTCAGCTGGTTATTTGTAACTGTGCAGGGCGAATATAAGGTGCTTCAGTTTCTGATGTTCCTGCTCTCAGTCTGACCTGGCTCACCCCTTCATCACTTTTAGGGGACACTGTTTTCCAGCAGAGCCCCAGTCCCAGATCAGAGCCTCAGCTGTAACAGCTGTACACGACAGCAGCACACACTCCTTGGAAAGCCTTCACCAAACCCCAGCCACGGAAACGAGGCAGGAAAATGGTTCAACACAATCTGACCCACCAGGTAACGGGACATAGCAGTGATGGCAGAAACCTGACACTGCCCTTTAGAGCCTGAGCATCAGCTCAGCAGCTCCAGGGGCCTCTGCAGGGACCTCCCACCACCCCGCTGGGTGAACGTGAACGGCTCTTGCTGAACCTTTACGTGGGTTTTCCCCCCTGAAACACGAAGGCACAGCATGGGGGACAAGGACAGCACAAACAGCCTGTTTTGCCCAAGCATTTGTAAGAACCCTTTGCAGAGGAGGGGGTGTGGACGTGCCCCAAGACACACATGGGGCTGAGTTGTGACCCACTGCTGCTCCAAGGCTGTGCTTGACTGCCAGGATATTTCTGCTGTTACCTAAGCATGACTCAGTTGTCTTGCTTTCATTGACGACACCTCTGTGCGAATGGAAACTGGCTCTTCCCTCAGCAATTAGCCACTTTACTCCTGGCTGTTCTAAATAAACACTCTGCTTTCTGCTTATTTTTAACCTTGTAAAGAGGTTTCCCAGTTTCCGTGACGTACTCGGTGCTCTATTTTCGTTCCCTGGCTCCTAAACCTATTAGCAGGGGAATGCCCACAACTCTGCAGATTGTTTAGGAATCTCCTTCAAGTCTTAGAGGGGAATCACCAGACCCCTACAGGTTCACCACCTCTTCTTGTCATTCCTTTCTCCAGGGTCATTAATTTCTCCAGCACCCGCAAGGCTGGAGCTCAGGACACGGGTTATTTCAGCAGTTGCTGTCACAAGGAAACCTCAGTCCATTTTTTTTCCCCAGGGAATAAAATAAGAGCAGATTTTGTACCACTGCAGTCATTTCAGTGTGGTTTGTGTACCCCTGCACTTAGATTTGTTCAGCAATGATTTTATATTCACACACATGCATGCTGAGAGCTCATGGACATTCTCTCTTTGGAAAGGACAAGTACACACACGACTGCTGCTGCTGCTGCTGCACCCACCCAGTGGGGAGCACTAATGTCATTAATCCCACGTACTTGGGGTGTGGAGGGGAGGCTGTAGCTCCTGTGACAACCCAATTGCTAAGTCATGTAGATGCCTTCAAGATGGGCAAGCCTTGCTGGGCGATGGAGACCTGACAGTCATTTCCAGTGACGGGCAGATACCGAGCCTGGGAGTGCTGAGCTTTGGGCTTTGCTCTTGTAGTGGGGCTCATCTGCCCTGGAGGTTCCTGCTTATCCTCTGGAGCACCTGAAGCTCTGCAGAAACATCCTCCCTGCCCATGTGAACGCACCTGCTTACGTGATCACTGCCTTGGAGGGGAAGCACCATCTTAATGCCCACAGCACTATTTACGGCACTGCCAGTGCTCCGTGCCTGAATGAAGAGTCCCACGTAATCCTGTTGCACCCACTCATACATTTAATCCCTCCCAAACTGTCTGTTGTCTATCAAAGAAAATCCCACGGGAGGGGTCACAGGGAGAAGGTTGGTTCAGCAACCAAGGAAGCTCAGAGGGCTCAGCCGGGCAGGCGAAGCATTCCCTGGGCGGCTGCCGGAGCCCTGCCTGGATGCCAGCACTGCCTGTCTCCTGCAGTTCCTCTCCTGTCCCCCTGGAGCCACCCCAGGAGCCACCCCAGGGCTGTGACGTGCGGTTTGCTCTGAGCTCTCAGCCCCACGGGGGCAAAGCCGTCTGACGGCAGCAGCGGGATTTGCGCAGCGGGGAAGGGATGAGGCACCACAATGACATCAGCGGGACCTTTTCACCCTGGTCACCCTCAGGGCAAGGACCTTCCAGACCCCTGCCCTCAGGATGGGGACATGGTGAGAGGGTGTCTCTCCTGCCCAGCTCTGAGCCTGGAGCACCCACCTGTGAGGTTCTCTCCCCGGTGGGGACCCCGGAATGTGGGGCTGTCTGGGGGGGGGAGGCAGGAGGCAGCACTGGCAGGGTGGGCAGTGCTGGTTGTCAGGGCTGTCAGGGCTGTCAGGGCCATTGTGACCACAGGGGCCATTGTGACCACGGGGACCATTGTGCCCACGGGGGTGTCACCAGGGTGGTGGATGTCACAGGGGTGCCCAGGTTGAGCAGGGCTGCTTGGGCAGAGGGTGCAGAGGAGGGGCTCAGCCACGGGGATTAGGATTTACACCCAGTGGGAACCACCCAGTCAGAGCACAGGGTGCCTTGCTGGCCCTGCCACCCCCACCGAAACGGGGCCCTGGCAGCAGGGACCCCCTGCCCCCATTGACAGAAGTTGGTTCTCTTTCCACAGGTGCTGCTCTGCAGCTACACATGGGAGTTTCTCTTCCCATCCCTCCTGCCCTCCCTCCCTCCCTCCTCCAGGTCCCTCTGGAGCCACACTCGCTGCACAATCCCTTCGCCCACCTGCGAGTGCGGCAGGGAACGATCCACATCTGCAGCTCCTCACTCTTGATGCAAAAGCAGATTGTTCTGGGGTGTTTACCCGTGTTAGGATCAAAGGCAGCCTCACACCACGGCGTGTTACATCAGAGCAGTGCTCACATGGCCATTTCTATGCTATAAAATCTGCTGGAGATCTTCCAAGCGCTTGCCTGAGCTTCGTGCCCAGCCCAGCCCACCAGTCCCTTTAGCTGTGTGGCCTCAGTCACTGAGTGGCAGTTGTCCTTCCTTAAAAATACAGCCAAACTGGGCAACTTTCCCATGTCTCTGCATGCACTTCACAGAAGTCCCCCTACCCAGCAGCACACCCAGCATGCCCTTCATGCTGGTCCAGGCCTCTTTTCTGGACTTCTGAGGGGAGGTCTGTGCTCTTCTGAGCGGTGGAAGGCAAAGAACAAACACCTTTCATCTGGAACAAATAAGTGGGAGTGTGCACATGAACCCTGGCAGAATTGTTTAGCAGCTGGTGTTCCCTGGGATAATAAATTCACCTCAAAACACACATCCCTTCATGTTGTGAGGGTGATTTTTTCCTACGCTCACCGCCCAGGGTGAGGCACAGGCATCGTTGGTGGGGTGGCACGGGCAGGGCTCTGGCATCCCCCCACCCCTGGGGCTCAGGAACACCTCGGAGCAGTGTCAGGGAGCTGAATCACACCTTCCTGCTCCCACAGAGCACCTCTGCAGCCCTGCAGACACTTTGAAGTCTCTTTGCTCTAATGAGACTTCGTGGGACACCTTTGTGCACGAGCCCAGGCTTTTTCATTCCACGGAATTTTATTGGCTTCGCTTCTTCAAATAGTTCCTCTTCTCCTTCCCCTTTTCCATGACTGTGTCTCTGTATTTCCCGTTTAATTTGCTCAGTTGAGGCCTGTGGATATCAGTGAGCACTTATGCCTTGCCTACCTTGCAGAGATATCACGTCCTTTGTCTTTCCAGCAGTGGGCAGGTCCCTCATTTCACCTGATTTCTGCTTTTGAGACGTGCCAGTGAATTTCCTGAAAACGCCAGAGGTTGGATCCAATGACCCCAGAGGTCTTTTCCAACCTAATCGATTCTGTGACTCTGTCTGGAACTCAGCAGGATCGGTTCCCTCAAGGAGCTGGTTCCAGCACTGCTGTTTCCCAGTTTCCATCCTATCACCCCTCTTCCCTGCAGGCAGGGATAGGAACACTATCCCTTTTCCTGCCATCCTGGCTAAAACGGGTCCCTGTGGTGTGTCCCAGGGCAGGTGTTTGAGGAGCGTTTCCCTGCCCTGTCTCACACAGAGAGCAGTTAAGATAACTGTCACAAAGGGTGCCAGTCCCACTAATTGCAGGCCTCCTGCTCGGCACAAAGCCACCCCTTCGGCGTCACCTGCCGCTCCTCCAGCGGATTTTGGGAGCAGCAGGAGCAGGCTGACCCCTCCCAGCCAGGAAGATCTGCGTGACCCCCTCCATGGAGCTGCACATCTGCAGCCCAGGTTAAATTCCCTGGAAAATCCCCGAAATTATTATAGCCCCTATACCACAACCACAGCATTGAGTTCTAACTTTTTAACTCTCCTTTTCCTTCTCCATTTGCCATTCATGTTAATTCACTTTATTTAAGCGCTGCCTGGCAACTTGTGCCATGATTTTCCATTTGTGCCAGGATTTTCCTTTTAGAATATCACAACAGTGCTGATTTTTCGCTGTTCGTGGGGGATTTAATATGTTGCCCTAATTTGTACTTTAAGGCAAAAAAAAAAAAAAGATGCTTTTCACAAGAAAAGCGTAATTCCAAAGTGATTAAAGAAATTATATTTATCACTGAAAAAAAAGAAATTTATATCATTTTGACTCTAAAATGTGGTGGAAATAGAAATAGATACAAGATGACCTGAGCCTGAAGCTGGGAGCTGTGTTTCAGAGTTAATGTTTCCACAGCTATTTTGGGTTTAAAGTTCTCCAGAATCCCCTGCATTTGTTAATAGCCAGTGTTACTCATTAACTCTCGATTTTTGCTTGCCTGACTCAAAAAATCATGAGCAATGCTAGAAATTTGCTTTTGTACCTGAAACAAGAAATGATTTGGGGGTCAAGTCCCATTGCCTTGAAGCTTTTGCATCGAAACCACTCAAACCCAAAGAGCACTCGGGTCACACGGGGGGTTCCTGGGGCTGCACGGTCCCACAGAAGCCAGGAGGGATGAGCAGAGGGGCTCTGGAATGCTTCCTAAACACTCAGCTCCCTAAAAACTCAGCACTGATTTGCTTACTGTCATACCCAGGGCAGAGGGAAAGGATTACTCGGCAGCTTTCCCTGACTCTGGTGATAATTCCATTTATTTCTGACACCTGCAGATCTCAGGGACTCCAGGTCCAGTGCACTGCACGTGGGAGGTGTGGAAAGGCCTGGGGGGAGATCCCAGCCCATGGGACAGGTCTCAACTGCAGGTGAATAGGCAGAGAAACAGGAGAGAGTGAGAGAAAGGTCAAACCCCTCCAGAGTTAGGACTGAGGGAACGGCTGGAGCTGTGTCAGAGAGGTTTAGGTTGGATCTCAGGAAAAGGTTCTTCCCCCAGAGGGTGGTTGGCACTGAACAGGCTCCCCAGGGCAGTGGGCACAGCCCCAAGGCTGCCAGAGCTCAAGGATGGTTTGGACAACACTCTCAGGCACAGGGTGGGATTTTGGGGTGTCCTGTGCAGGGCCAGGAGCTGGACTGGATGATCCTTGTGTGTCCTGTCCAACTCAGGACAGGTTCTGTTATTCCTTTCCCTGCTGCCTGATGCCAACACGTGGGTAATGAGCATTTACTGCAGCCAAGGTCCTTTTCCTACGGTATTAAATGTCTGGTTTCCTACAGGATGTGTCCCCAGGAACGTGGCTCTCAGGCACACGGTGGGATTTTGGGGCTGTCCCGTGCAGGCACAGGAGCTGGACTTCGATGATCCTTGTGCGTCCCCTTCCAACTCAGGTCATTCCACGACTCTCAAACCCAACTGCTCGGCGTGTGACTGATCGGAAAACACTCCAGGGGCACCTGGCGAGGGCGGGTCCGGGGGTGGGACCATCCCCGCCCCTCCCGCCGCCGCTGTGGCCCCGCTCCCGTCCCGGCTCGGCGCGGGGATGCCCGGCTGGGAGCGCCCGGCTCCGCCAGGATGAAGAAGCACCATCACCACTCGGTGCAGGGCACCTTCAGCCGCCTCTTCGGGAAGCGCCACTCCAGCCCCACCGCCACGTCCCTGTTCGCCACCAACCCGCCCTGGATCTTCACGCAGGAGGTGACCTCGGACAGCGCGGGTGGCACCGGTCAGTGTCCCCAAACCGTCAGTGTCCCCAAACCCGCCCGCCCCGGGGGCTCGGGGGCTGTGCCGTGCGCGGCCAAGGGGTGGTGCGGGCCGGGAACGGGTGGGAAAAGGGTGGGATGGGGACAGGGAGCGGCGGCGGCTCATCCACCGCCCCGTCGGGAAGCTCCGCGACGCGCTCGGCGGGCCCGGGATGCGCAAACCAGGAGGGTCCGCCCCGGCGGGCTCGCCGCTCTCCGGGAGGTTAAACCCGACTAAAACAGGCTGCGAAGTCGTTGCGGATCTATTTGATTGCTTCCCCGTCGCTCTTTCCCACGCCATGTTTGATCCGCGCCTTCCCGGCTTTTAGTTATTTACTCATAAACCTGTTTTCTCGCAGCGCTGGGGGGAGCTGAGGGTTGCATATTCCTCGGGATTTATTTGTGTTTCTTTGTGGTTTTAATTGCAATACGGTGCCCTGGAGGCTCATGGAGGAGGGAGCCAAATTAATAGTAATGGAGCCAGGTAGATAGAAGATAGCAGTTTGTGGATGGAGTTTGGTGGCTGTAAGAGCCCAACAAAGTCTTCCAAGATTAAAAAAAAAAAAAAGTGGAAGCGCTGCCTGCTGAGCTGTGCAGGGTGAAGTATTGTCTGTGAAAGCAACTGCAAGGTGGTTACACCCCAAAGGCCAAGCTGCTGAAACCAAGATAAAATGAAAATGTGACAGGGAGTTTCATGCAGCTCTGCAACGCAGAAGGAAAATTGCTGATTTCTAACTGTCGTAAATCTGAGGAGGATTCCAGCTTCTCTCTGATGTGGTTTGGATTTAAAAAAAAAAAAAAGAAAAAAGAAAGAAAGTTGCTGTGTCTGCTTATTACAAGCCTGATTTCCGTGGCTGCAGTTCTACAGTACAAAAGCATTCCGTTCAGGTGTGGGTCAGATTGCAAAGGAAAAGCTGGGAGTGCTGAAATCTGAGCCTAAATAGGAGCTGTTGAATCAATCCTGAGCATCCTCTTGGTGCTTCTGTCCTTAGTTTGGTTTGTGGAGGGTGGTGTGACACCCCAAGGCTGGGTGGCCACGTTTGGAGTGCTGTGAGTCGGTGTGAGGAATGGTGAGCTCACAGCTCAGTCCAAGGGGCAGGTTTTATTGCACCTGGGTATCCACAGCTCCACAGTCCTACCCGGGGAAGCCCCATCCCTGGCCCTGTTTCTGGAATATTTCCTGCATAGCTTCACGCCACCACCGCTGCTGCTGCTGCCAAGAGGAGTCCACTGCTCCTGCTAATCCCCACCTTAGTTTCTCATACAAAGTAAACACAAGTTGAGCAATGTGGAATGGGTGTAGGTTTGCATGTCCCTGACTCAGAGATTCCTGAATATAGTGACTGATGCCTCCTCCTCCTCCTCCTCCTCCTCCTCGCTGGGAGCTGTGGATACCCCGGTGCCAAACCTGGTGCCAAACCTGCTGCGCCTACTCCAGGTGATGCAACCCCCAAGGAGGAAGAGGTTCCATTGCATGCTTTGCAAATTGTTTATTGAATTTCCCCGTGGCTGAGCGGACACAGATGTCTCCAGGACAGGCTGAATGTCAAAAAGTGGCCAGAGCAGGGCCAGTCATTTGAGGGCAGCCGCTTCCGACAGCCTCCCAGGCTGCTTTTCCTGATCCCTCCTTCCAGGAAAGGAGGCTGGCAGAGCACAGGTCTTACTGGTGACAGCCTCTCAGCAGGCAAGTCCTGTTTATCTAGCAAAGAAAACACAACTACAAGCACTTCATTTTACTTTAATTAAAAGCATTCAGGTTAGAGATGCTTAGTAATCTAGGATCAAAGTCCTTGTGATCTTTAATCCAGCTTCTCACTGAGTTTACCCAGTGACTTGTTTAATATAAAACTCTCATCGTTTCAAGTCTCAGAACTGCTCTATCACTGCTCCACAAAGCTGCCTGAGTCCAAACTCTTGTAATGCATTGGCCTTAATTCTTGCTACTTACTCACTGAATGTGGGGTCACCCATAAAATTAATCATCACAGAATCACAGAGTGGTTTGGGTTGAAGGGACCTTAAAGATCATCTTGTTCCACCCCCTTGCCGTGGGCAGGGACACCTTCCACTATCCCAGGTTGCTCCAAGCTCTGCCCAACCTGGCCTTGGACACTTCCAGATTCATTGCTGGGTTCTCTGCCCTCCTTGGGGCTCCAGCAGCTCCTCCTGTGTGCTCGGGCCCCTCCCAGGCAGGGAAGTGTTAAACTCTTGGGAGAACCACACTGACTGAAGTGCAGGCTGATGAGTAGTTTGAAAGCTGTTGTAAAGAATCCCTTGTAGTGGGAGAAGTTGGGGATAAGGGAGAGGAAGTTGTGAGGACAGTGGTAGCACAATGGACACTCCTGGGTGTATCCCAGCCTAACCTGTGGTGTCGTGGGTGGGTGAAAGGAAAAGCTTACGTGCCTGCTGGACTCAGTGGCATGTTCCAAGGCTGTGTGGAATTCATCTGCCTCCAAACCTGTAAGTTCAGCAGAGGCTGTGCTTGCTCATGCCCAGCCCCTGGTGTGGTCAGGTTCTTCATTCCAGGTGTTCATGCAAGCGCTTTCCTTTCCGTGGGATGCACACAGAAGCGTTTGCCCTCCTCTTGTTTTCCACTAGACTTGGTGTAAAGCTGTTTCCTTGGGAGCTCCCTCCTGATGCCTGCCCGTCCCAGGAGGGCAGAGCCTTGGTGAGGAGCTCAGCTGTGTGCCACGGCAGCCTGAGGTGGGGTGGGGACACTTGACAGAAACTGTTTCTGTGCCTCACACTTCAGCAGGGGGAGCAGCTTTGAGGACTCTGCCCCCAGACTTTTTAGGGGGGCAAAAAAAAAGAAAGCTGCTTACTTGTTGGTGTCTGCCTTTTGGGGTGGAGGGGGAGGTTGGTTGTTTTTTCCTTCTCCTGCACCTCCCTTCTTCCTTCTTCACTATCAGACTCTGCTGGGAGGGAACCCTCCTGCAGTTTTCTCTCCAATCACAGCCATTTTGTTCCTTTCCCCCTCCTTCCTCAAACCCTCATATTTTCTTTAATGTCTGTCTCCTTGGCTACGAGTTATTTGTGTATCTCCTTCCAGCCAAGGTGGGGTTTACATGCTTCAATATTTCTGCCTGTTAATTCATGCTGTTAATCAGACACAAAGAACGTAATTAAATTAATTTTATGAGCTTTATTCACTGTCAGAAATAAACCAGGCCCAGAAAGGTGTGGTTCAAGGTGAAAGCACAGGGCTGGGAACCAGGAGCACCCGATGGCTTCTCCTGCTTGTAGCACTGGGGATCTGGAGCTGTCAGCTGCAGTGTCTCCATCCAGAGTAGTGTTTTGGGGGAAGTCATTTGGAGCATTTCCCTGTAAGGCAGGATGGGGTGTGGAAGTCTGACGAGCACGATCTGGCCCCCAGTGCCAATTGCATCAGGGCCAGAAACAAATTGCTCCAACAGCATCCCCAGGGATGGAGCTGCAACCTCCTTGGGAAGCCCCTGCGTGTCCTGATCCCGTCACTGTGTCCCAGTGGTGCAGGAAGGGGTTTCCCTCTGCTCATCCTGGTCCTGCTTGGCACGAGCCAGGGCAGCCAGTGCCCAGGGACACCTCTGCTGTGCCTCTCCACTAAGTGACAGGGGTGAGTGAAGCTCCTGGAATTAATTCTGTGCCTCAGTGCAAGCACTCTGCCCACAGAGCAGAGTGAGGAAGGGCAGGAGCTCGTTCAGCTCTCCTGCCTCCTTCTGCTCTGCCTCCCTCCTCAATTCCAGCTGCTGATGGATCAGCCAGGGTTGGATCCTGCTTCTGAGCTGGTTTGTGTCACCTCTGTGCACACCTGCCCTGCTCTCCTGGGGGTTGGATCCTCCCAGTACTGCAAAGGGATGATCCAATTGCTCCTGAAGCATTTTCCTTCCCTAAATGTAATCTGGGAGGGGAGTGAGTTGAGTGCTTGTGCTAACTTTTGACCCCCCCCCCGAGGTAGATTTAAGTTATCTGCTACTTGGAATCAGCCCTTCAGGATCGATTTTGGCACCTGGGCTCACTCAATTCCATCATTCAGAGCTCTGGGAAGGCTCTCTGTGCCGTGCAGGTGTGTGACAGGGTTGTCAGGGCCTGTCCTGCACACCCGGGACCTTTCTCCCTCTGTCTTCAACTCACCCCCCCAAAAAAAAACCCAGGTTCTGCTCAGAATCTGGTGGGTTCTGCACGTTCCTGGGAGCTGATGCAGCAAATTCTCCAGAGCGCTTTTTAAAATCCGGTGCTGTCCAGCGTTGTTTTCCCTGTTTCCCAATCCCAGTGCTGGCTGCTAACAGTCCTCTCTTCCCCTCAGGTGATGTGATCGAGGTGTATTACGGTGACAACCGCTTTGGGACAGTGACAGACTCTGGCACAGCAACACTTAAGCCTCGTCCCAGGGTCCGGCCGCTGCTGACTTTCCTCCCCCTGGTGAGTGCCCAGCTCACTGCTGGGATTCATTGCAACACCGTGGTGGAACTGGTGCCCAGAACCAGCTGGGCTGGCTGCTGCTCTCATCCTCTACCCCAGGGGAGAGAATAAATGAAAAGCAAAACCACTCTGTAATAACACTGGAGAGGAGGGATTAAGAGGTGATGTGAGTTCAAGGCTCGTGTTGGACACAGGCAAGGCACTCGGGGGAGAGGCGTGAGCATCGTCAGACTTGCATTTTCAATTAAAAAAAAAATTGCTGAGCATGTAGATGATAGATCAGGCTTGCACTGCAGTTTATCCAACCACTGCTGGCAGTATCTCTCCTGGAATCAGGCATCTTGCTGGAGACAGCAATAGCAGAGCTGTGTCCTGTTGCAGCAGAGGAACAAGGAGATGATGCTGCAGGTATGCAGGGGGTGATTTTTTTCAATCTCTGTATGAACAAACCCATTCCCTGAAGAGCTCCCAGTGCTCCAGCAGCAGCTGGATGCAGGGACTGGAGCAGCAAGGGGCCAATACAGCCAGACCAGAGGGCCTGGGGGTGGCTTTAACTCCAGAAACCACACCTGCTTGTGGCTGGCTTTGAGGTTCCCCTGCTGTGTGTGCTGAGCAAGCTCTCCTCCCCCATGCACCACACCTTTCCAGGGGTCTTATTCCCTAAAGAGCACAGTGAGGAGCAGGATTCATAGAATCATGGAATGGTTTGGGCTGGAAGGAACCTAAAACCACTAGACCAGGTTGCTCAGAGAGATTCTGGAGGTGGCAGGAGCTGAATCTGAATTGATACCCTCGGTCAGTGGAGGCAGTATAACACTTAAATGCCTTTAGTCTTGATGGGGAGATCCTCTCTGAGAGCAAGGGATGGTTTTCCCTGTGCATCCCTGTCCTTCAGAGCAGCCATCACCTTCAGCAGAAAATGGGCTGGTCTGGTGATACAATCAGGTGTTCGTGGGGTTTTGCTGGTGTTATCCGAAGGACAAAGCAGGAGGGGAGTTTATTTATCTATTTGAAAGCATAATTGGGAAGTTGTGGGGTTACAAAGGGGTTGTTCCCTCTGTGATGCCTTGCAAAAGATTCCCAGCAGGTGAAAAACCTCATCTGGGATCCAGGACAAGTAACCATAGGACTGTGCCTGAAAACCTCCTCTCCAGCAGCACGGGTTTGGAGGTGTGACTGTATCAGCAGGATTTTAAGGTGCAGCTGGCCTTTTGCATTTTTTTAGAGCTTTCAAATGCTTTGCTAGTGGAAGTGTGTGTGGTAGAGGAATGAACAGCTGGAATGCCCCTGGGATAAATCCTGAGGGCTGTCACACAAGCCTTGGTGCCCACAGGGGCACAGACAACCCTGGGGCTCTTTTGCCCTTGTGAGGGTCCCTCACAAACCTGAGCTTCTCTTCTGACAGTGACAGGTTTAACTGAAGAAATTAGCAGGAATAAGCCATATTTTTAAGGACCAGCCTGTGCTGGGTGGTGTTTGCACTATTTTGACGAGGTTTGATTATGATTTGATCTGGCACAGAGGCTTCTGCTGCCACGTCCATACCTGCACTGGGCTGTTCTGCAGCTCCTGCCTTAACCCTTTCCTCCCACCCCCCTCTCTGAGGAGCAGCTCAGTGAGTCAGGAGGATGAACACACCCTGCCCTGCAGCTCCCTGTGCCTCTGCACCTGGCAGCTCTTCCCACGTGGAGCACTTTCCTTCCCTGTGGATCACCTTTGGCCGTCCCACGCCAGGGATTGCAGGAGGAGGGGGTCCCACCACATCCCCCTGACCTGCTGCCTTCCCCAGCACTGCATGTGCAGGCAGGGCTTTGGCATCCTGGGGGAATAAATTCCTCCAGCTAACCACCAAACTCCCCTGGCTCAGAAACAAGGAGTTCATTTCTGGAGGAATCTGGAGGAATCCTCGGCCTCCCTGAGACCCCAGGGTGCTCAGCAGTTGTATTTTGGGGTGGTCTTTTTAACAGGCAACCTCAAACCTTGTTCATTTAATGGGTGGGAAGAGTCCTGAGAGAGCAGGGACCACGAGGACAGGCAGGCTCCCTTCACCGTGTGGGAAAAAAATTCTCTTTTAAATTTAGAAAGATGGCATAAACTCATGGAGCAAAGAAACTGTATCAACAAGGAAGAATTTATTCAGTGTGCTGGGTCTTCCTCTCACCAAGTTTCCGGGGTGAAAGACCCCTTGGGTTTAAATCTCATGCATTTTATAGTTTTACAAAATCCCACCCTTTTTCAGATAAGTTTAATATATTCAGTTTTGCCTAAAAAGGTTTCTTTTTCTCCGAAAAGGGGCTTTCCCTTCCTTCCAGTTGGCTGTGAGGAGTCCTCTGTGAAAAATGATGGATTTCCTTTGTTCTTAGCCCAGAGAGGAAAAAGAAACCCCTATGTTCAGAATTTGCCAAGTGGCCCAGAAAGATTTAAAGTTTTAGGAACTTTATATTTAAAAAGACCCAGTTTGGAACTTGGATACCTTACACCTTCACATATAAAAAAACCCTTATTTTATTTCTCATAACTGGGGACATCTTGCTGTGTTCCAAGGATGAAAAGTGATTCCTGGTGGTTCCAGTGAAAGCTTCCCCTGCACAAATCTGAGCCGGGTACCACGAACTGGAAATGCAGGTTCCTGGCCCAGCACCCTGAGCCTGCTCTGAATCAGCTGGAGGTTTGCAGGGCTGGTCACACCCCGAGCAAAGGCAGGGAACAATCTTCCCAGCCATCTCTGGAGGCTCTGGCAGGGTACTGGGGATGCTTTCCATTTCAGGAGCCAGCTCATGACGTGGGGATGGGTGGTTTTTTCAGAGAGATGCTGAGCATTAGCAACTGCTAACAGAAGTTTTTGGTGTGAAACAGGCTTGCCCAGTTTGAAATGACATGTCCAAAATTACCACTTCATTTATGAAGTGCAGACTGTTTCCTCCAGCTTTGCATAGCTCTCTTCCGACTGTCAGTCCCTTTCCACTCCTCTCCAAACATGTGATGCATATTCTGCTTTGAATTCAGTGCCCAGACATCTTTGTTGCCCTGTAAATGAGCAGGTATCCTCGGTGTGCTCTGGCAGCAATAGATTTCCATAGCAAATAGGAGCTGCTGGGTTTTTTTTTCTTTGTAGTTTTTGATATCTCATTACTCTGGACAGTGTCATTATTGGCTCATAAAATACCTCTGTTGGCCTTGGCCTTCCCTCTGGCTTTCAGTTGAAGTTAAGGATCTTTCTTCTACCTTGTCCTGTATCTTTAGGACCAATAAAGAGTTCTCAGATTTTATATATATATAAAAAGATGTATATAAAATATATATATATATAAATATATAAGTATATGAAAGGATATATATATATATATATATATATATATATATAAAAAGATAGATATATAGCTAGATATTAAAGATACAAGGCCCACCTAGCCTGGTGTTTTGCCACTAACAGATCTGTCCTGATGCCTTAGCAGACCTTGGCTTCTCCATCAGCAAAATGTTGTCTGATCCATCCTGCAATCCCAGGAATGTGAATTCCCACTCACTCACTCCTGGCTCACCAGTAACTGGCTCATTCCCGGGTGGTTGTAGAGGATCTTTGGTCATCTGCAGGGTGATGGATGTAGCAATGAAATATGTGTATTTTCTTAGTTTTGTCCAAAGCTGGGGCATTCCAGGGCTCTTGTGCAGGAGCCCAGGCTGCTGCTGTTAAATCAGCTCTGCCCATCAGGCATCTCCTGAGCTCTCCACACCAGGGCTGTGTGAAACCTTAACGTGCTGTCTGAGCCTGGAAGGGGCTGGATGAATAAACCCAACTTGACCTTTGCTCAAGGAGACTTTGGAATCCTGCAGCAGCCTGATGTAAAAATGGTGATAGTGGCAGTGAAAGGCAAAGGGCAGGGGCTCAATCATTATCCAGGCTTTTGTGTGCAGGAAACCACTCCGGGAGAGGGGCAGGCTGATGGCAGGATAATGTTTCCTTTGTAAAGGGCTGTTAACAGTGCAAACAGCTGCCTGGGGGGAGCAGGAGTGCAGCAGGGTGGACCTGGAGCCTGGGAATGGGATGGGATGTCCCTGACCACTGCCTGTGGCATCTGCGAGTTTGCTGCTCACAGAGTGTCATTGCATGGAATCAGAGAATATCCTGAGCTGGAAGGGACCCACAGGGATCATCCAGTCCAGCTCCTGGCCCTGCACAGGACACCTTAAAATCCCACCCTGTGCCTGAGAGTGTTGTCCAAACCCTCCTGGAGCTCTGGCAGGTTTGGGGTGGTGCCCTTTGCCCTGGGGAGCCTGGTCAGTGCCCAACCACCCTCTGGGGGAAGAACCTTTCCCTGATATCCAACCTGACCCTGCCCTGACACAGATCCAGCCATTCCCTTGGGTCCTGTCACTGCTCACAAAGAGCAGGGATTGGAGCTGCCCCTTGTGAGGAGCTGCAGCCTCCAATGAGTCTCCCCTCAGTCTCTTCTTCTCCAGCTGAACAGACCAAGTGCCCTGAGCTGCTCCTTGTATGGCCCCTCCAGACCCTGAACCATTTTTGTGTCCCTGCTTTGGACACTCTAATAATTTTATATCTTTGTAGCACCCAAAATTGTCCCCAGGACTCAGTCTCTCCCAGTGCTGGTGTGTGACAGTCCAGCCACTGCCTCACTTGTGCCTGTGCCTGACCCAGCACCAGTTTGGGTTTGCACATGGGAGCATTAATAGACATTCCTGAGCCACTGCAGGCCCCTCAGAGCAGTCCCAGCAGTGAGTCACTGGGGGAAGGAGAGGCTTTCTGCTCCTGGCAGGTGTGTGAGGTGGAGCCCTGATCAGCTCTCGGGTGAGTCAGCCTGCCGTGGATCTCTCTCTCTGGGTGGCTGTAATTACCCAAAGTGCCCTCACTGGAGGCATCCCCACGGATGTGTGGGCTGTTGAATTGCATGGTCCTGTGCCAGCTAAAGGCACTGCTGAGTTTTCAGCATGAGTGTGAAGGGAGTAATTGAGAGTGGAACACAAACCACACAAGGAGCAGTTTTCCCCGGGGTGTTCAGATATGCTGGTGCCGGTCTCCCAGAAAGCTGGAGGTCTGTCTGTGACTCCAGCGTGGTGTGTGTGTGACTGTGGTGTGAGCTGGCAGTGCTTGCTGGAGAGCAAGGCCCACAGAACCCATGGGAGCTGTTCAATGTGCTTGGTACACGGATGGTGAGAAACCAATGCTGCTGCTGGCGGGCTGGGGAGCTCTGAGGTGGGATGTAAATAGCCATGCTCCTGTCCAGCCCCTCTGCACCTGACCACAGGGAGCTGTGGCCATGGCTCGTGCAGCCTTCATCACTTGATTCACCTGTCAACAGCAGCTTCCACAGAGACCTCCGTGTCTTGGGAAGATCCATCAGGCCCCTGTTTGTGTGGACAAATAACCAGCTGCTTGTCAGCCCTTCTTTCTGATACCCTGGATGTAAAACTAACAGCTCTGTTTTTTTAACTCTTTCAGAATGCCCAAGAATCCCATGGGGTGGCTGTGCCAACGCCCTCAGTGCCAGAAGACTTTGAGGAAAAAGCAGCTCTTGGTAAGGGATCTTCTCTGCTGAGTCCTGGCCAGCACTCAGCAGGGCTGTGCCCTTGGGGCAGGAAGTGTGTGTGGCTGGAGCTCTGGAGCAGACAGTCTGCTCCTGAGAGTTCCGTGCCAAAATAGAGCCTACTATTAATTATTTTCTGAAGCCATTGGAAATGAATTAATTTCCAAGGGGTAAGGCACAGTGACTTTGAACAAGCTGAGCAAGAGGCTGGCTCTCTGGGAGGACCACTGGCCACGGCAGTGCTGGTGGAGAAGGTGCTCACAGCGCTGTGCTCTCGCTCCTTTTTCCAGGCTCTGGCTCCCGGATCAATGGCAACTACCGGATGTACAGCTCCGTGGGGGACCTGCGCCCACAGGCTCTGGAGGGGGATGACCTGGATGAAGACATCCCCCCACCACCATCAGTGCCCCCACCGCCCCCTCCAACAGCACCGGCGCCTGTGCCACCCCCTCCGGCCTCGCCGGTCCCTCCACCCCCCGAAGTGCTGCCGCCACCGCCGCCTCCGCCACCCGAGCTGGTGCCACCCCCTCCTGCCGTGGCAGCTCCGCCACCTCCAGCCTCTGCCCTGTCCTCCCCCAGCACACCAGCTCCTCCAGACTTCATCCCCCCAGCCCCACCGGGTGCCTCGCTGCTCATCCAGGACCCCGCGCCCTTCACCTCCGGCATCTCCAAGTGGAAATCCGAGACGGTGCTGAACACGAGGCAGGCAGATGCCGAGGGGCCTCTCCGCCCTGCCGAGCCCGGGGTGCCCGCTGCCCCCAGCCCCAAGGAGAGCCTGCAGCCCAAGCACTGCCCCGAGCCCCACCTCACGTTCCCCAGGTCCTTCAAGGTGCCCCCGCCGGCCCCGGCCCGCTCCTCCTCCATCCCCGTGCAGGAGAACCAGCCGGTCCGGCAGGAGCCCTTCCCGAGGCAGCCGCACACCCGGCCCCCCCTCCCACCCTGCTTCACCATCAGACCCGCGGCCAAGGCTCGTGGCGGGGGAGAAGCCGAGCAAAGGAAACCTGCCACGAAGCCAGCTGTGCTGACACCCCCTCCCCTGAGCCCCAAGCCGGGCCCAGGGCTCAGCCAAGGGGCGAGTCCCGCCGGCCGCCGGTCCCCTCTGCCCGAGGTGGAGAAGATTCCCCCGCTGAAAACAGCCGGGAGAGACTCCCCTCCAAAACCTGAGCCTCTCACTGCCAACGACCTGGATCTGCCCCCTCCGGACTACCCGACCTGCGAGGATGACTGGAAGGACGCCAACAACCTGAACCAGCTGCGGCACGAGCTGTCGGCCCTGCTGCGCTCCCCGCGCAGGGAGGAGAGGCCCGTGGAGAAGCCGCCTGCTTCCCAGCCCACCGACAGCAGGACCAGCCGTGCTGGCAGCCGGGAGCCTGCTGTCAGTGAGCCCCAACCTGCTGGGAAGGACACGGGGTTGTCTAAAGGAGGGGACAGCGAGAAGAAAGAGGTGCCCAGCAGCCCCCCCAGCACAAACGGGGGCTCTCCCAGCACGACGGTCACTGCTCCGGAGAGCAGCCCTGCCACCCACACCCGCAGCGTGATGACGATCAGGAACGAGCTGGAGGCTGTGCTGTCCCTGAAGAAAGAGGGGAAACCTGCCCTAGGGCTTGGGGGCCAGAAGCAGGGCACTGAGAATGGCATCAGCACCCCACATGAGAGGAAGAGCCCCCCTGACCTGAGGAAGGGCCCCCCTGAAGCAGGTGACTCGCTGCTGCCAAAGCCGGTCCTGAGCCCGCTTCCAGCACCAGTGGCTGCTGTGGAGAAGGATGAGACAGATCATGAGGACCATCCCACTCCTATCACTGGCAAGGCCACAGAGGACTTGACCCCTGCTCCTGGGTCTCTCAACAGCAGCCTGAGCCCCCCAGACCCACCTCAGGGACCAGCAAAGGAGCCCCCTGCTCCCACCTCCCCCTCGGCCCCCGTCTCCCCCGCAGAGAGCCCGGCAGCACAGCCCAGCATGGCCGTGTTCCAGTACAAAGTGCACCGGGCTGGGGCCAGCTCAGCCGAGCCTCCCTGTGCCCCAGGCTCAGCTGAACCGCCCGGCCCTGGGAGCTCGGCCAGGAGCCCCCCGGGCGCCTCTGGAGCGGGGCAGGAGGAGGTGCTGATCCACCCGGTGACGGGGGAGCGGGTGGAGCGGGGGTCCCCCATGGCCCTGCTCCTGGCAGCCCGGCAGCGCGCCCAGCGGGGCCGCCAGGGCGGGGACGTGGGGTCTGCACTGCGGGCGAAGCCACCCCTGAAACTCAGCAGTGCCTCGTCGGACACCACCTCCACCAGCTTCTTCCGCCACGAGTCCAAGCCCTACTCCTTCACCGTGGTGCCCCGGCCGTCTGCAGCAGGTTCAGCAGGGTCTGGATGGAGCAAACCTCCCTCCTTCTCCAGCTCCTCGGACCAGGGCCGGGACGTGCGGGCGGTGGGCGAGGCACAGCCCCCCGGCCTGCCCGGGCACCGACGAGCTGCTGCCTCCAGCCTGCTCCGGGGCCTCCTGGACTCCGGGCAGCCAAACCAGCCCAGCCCATCCCGCCACGCCGTGCCCAGGGAGGAGGAGAACGGGGAGACGGCGCTGGACTACGGGATTATCCCCCCACCCCCCGAATTCAGCAACGAGGCGGACGAGGGTCCCCTCCCAAGCCGGGAGGAGAACCGTAAGTGCCCCAGCTTCCCCGACTGCAGCCGGGGCGCGGAGGAGCCGCGGTACTTCAGGTGGCCTGGCTACGGGGGCCGCTACGGGGGCAACCACGAGGCGCCAGCCCCGCTGCCCTCGGAGAAGAGCCGGAGGAACGGCGACTTGACGCCCCAGTTCCCGGATTACAGCAGCTCCAGCTGCTACTCCGGCCGCGATCCGAACCCCCGCCCGCTGATCAAGAAGCGCCTGTACGTGTCCGAGCCCGACAGCTCCTACCCCCGGGCGGCCGCAGCCCCCCGGGCCACGGGCACCCTCTCCTCCTACGGCCCCGGGGGGTTCAGCGCTGGGGAGGGGTCCCGCCGCCTGGGCCCTGCCCTCAGGAACGGCCCCTCAGGGGTGCAGGGCAGGCGGCCGTCTGTGGATGCTGCTGGGAAGGCTGCGGTGTACGGGAGCGCCGGGGCCGACGCCAAGTACAAGGGGCAGAACGGGGATTTCTCGCCCGCCAGCGTGCTGGCAGCCAGCAGGTACGTGTGTCCCCCTCAGCTGACCCTTCCCTGTCCTCGGTGTCCCTTGGATTTGGCTCCAGAGAAGTCATTGCCCCTTGGCTCATGTGCTCGCTGCCAGCTGGGATCTCCTCCCACCACCTCACGTCTGTCCATGGCTCCTCTCTAGTCCCAGCTGTGACCTTGCTCCCAGATGGTCCCAGTGGGTGCCCATCTCCCCTTCCTCCCCACATCACTGGCTGGAGACACGAAGCCACAAAAGTCACCCTGCTCCCCTAGAACAAGAATAAAGTACATAACCGCAATCCTGACTAAAACCGAAGGGTTTCCTTGGCTTTCAGTGACTTTCCCTCTGTTTTCCCTGCAGACCTGCCCACGGCAGCCCCCAGTACGGCGGACCCACCAACACCTTCACGGTCAGGCCCGGGACACGCCAGCCCATCTCCTACGCCTACCAGAGCAGCCACCGGTAGGCTCGTCCCCAGGGCTGCTCTGCCACCTGCACCCGGCTGGGAAGGGAGGAGAAGGTGCCTGGCATGGTCCTGTCCTTCTCCATGGGCCCCAGGGACGGTCCCAACCCAGCCAGCAAACGTGCTGCTTGAAACTACTGCTGGAGAAGGTGGGGGATAACCCTGGGACTCGGACTTTTGTCTCAAAAGACTGTCACGGAGAGTAAGTTACTGCAGACAGGCCGCTGCCTTGTTACCTGAGCAAACATGGTTTGCCTTTTTCCCCATTTTCCCCTTGGATTATTTTCAGAATTGCAGCCTGATAGGTCGTCTTAAGAAAGCCAAAGAGTGTCCTTAGTTCTCTTTGAAGAGCATCACCACTGGAAAAGTTGGTTTGGGATTGGTTTGAGTTGGTTTAACTCCAACATGCTTGGGAGTAGGGAGAAACCAACTGGGAGATGTGCATTATGGAAGCAAGCCAGTGTATAGCTCAGGGTAGGGGGATTAAAATAAGAGTGTGAGGCCAATGGGATAGAAAGAGAGTTTAGGATGTCCAGATCCTGACCTCTTCCATCCCCACCTCCTTCAACAGCCTGGAGCAAATCAATTATGCTGATGCCTTAAAACAGCTCCTGGCTGTCGGGGCCTGTCCTCCTCTTCCAGGGAGCAGCTTTGGGAGCAGGGGCCTTGCTTTGCTGTGCCTTTTGGTCATTGGAAATGTCTCTGTTGGTAATTATTCCTCGTGGAAGGAGGCTGTGAGGCCTGGATGGACGGCTCTGAAGCCCTTTGGAGACTTAGGACGTGGAGCAATCCTTCTTTTCTTTTCAGCTGGTGGGTGCCAGTGACTTGCCAAGGTGCTGTGCTGGTGGTGCTTCCCCTGAGGAGTCTCTTGCCACTTCACACCCATGTAACCCCCACCCCTGATAGTTCAGCCACAGCGTCCTTGCAAACTGCTCTGCTGAGACTTGGCTTTAGTTTGCTTGATTTGGGGACTAAGCAGCCAAATTTCAGTGTGACTGTAGGTGGTTACAGTCCTTGTGTGGGGTGGCTGCAGTGACATCCCTGAGGGAGCTGGCTCCCGCTGCTTCCATAGGTGCTGGATGTGCCTGTGCCTGCTTCCTGCTGCTGCCTCTGAAGGAGCTGGTTGGGGCTGTGCAGTGGGTGGGAGATACAAGAAGCCTTAAAGATAAAAGGTATTTTATACTCCAGAGTGAGCAGTGCAGTCTCACAATAGCTGACCAAAGCTTTGAATAACCAGCTTCCTGAAGCTAGAAATAAAAACTCTTCCTCGTAGGTAAACTTGCTGAAAATCTCTGTAAGATAACTGTAAAAACTTGTAGAGAATGTTGTCTAATCACTGACAAACTAAAAGCACTTTGAGACATTAGTCTATTTTTATGGAAAGCACTTTCTATTTTCAATGCTATAAATTAGTTCCACTCCAGCTTATCCTGCCTGGCACACACCTCTACATGTGCCTGTAAGCAGATTTTGCTCTACAATTCAACTGGAATTCAGTGATAAATATTCCTTCATGGTGGAATTCTCAAAAGCTATCTTGATATTCATGTCATGTCATTGGCATTCTGTGTTATTTCCAGTTTTACCCAGTAATTTAACAGCCCTTTCAGATACTGCAGCAGCTTCGAAGTATTCTGAACTTTACTTTGCTGTGAATAAAATGAAAATGCAAATACCATAATCAGTCTAATAGCTAATTTAAAGGGCATTTTTATGCCAGTAAGTCGCAGTGACTTGGAAGATTTCCAATGCTCACCACAGCCAATATTGAAATAATTGGCTTTAAATATCTGGGTGTTGGTTTAAAAAAAAAATGTTTATGGAGAAAAGTGATTATGGAGTAACTCTGTGATGTTGAAGTGTGCCAGGTGTCATGTGGAATAACCCCCACCTCAAAACATAAAAGTTTCTCCATGCAAGGAGCATCTTGAGGATTCTTACTGATCTGTGGAGGTAAAGCTGTGGTCCTGCTTGAGTGGCTTCAGGGTTGTGTTTTAGTATTGGATGAAGCTTCACCAGTTAAACTTGGAAGAAAACAAAGAAGCTTCTCTGATAATATTGCAACTTAATTTTTTCCTTCCTGATAATTTATTGTTTTGAAAAAAAGTATAACTGCAAGTTAGTTCTCAAAAGCAGTTTTAAATTTAAATGTTCGTTGGGAGACTTTGGCCCTCTAAGATTGGGTTTTGCCCACTATAGGTCTGGAGAAGTGTGGGGTGTGTGCACTTTTCCACCTCACGAATTCTAAATTTGAGCATATCCTCAAGTTTTTAGAGCAAAATGTGACACCCCAATGTCACATTTACTATTTCAACCCAGACACACAATTCAGATGGAGTTGTTAGATGATGTCACAGAGCACGGAGTGTCTCATTTCTAGCAGACATATTCGTATAAATTAACTATTAGAAGCATGATAATGTAAACCAGCCTTATAAAACAGCCATTGTTCATTCCAGAACACCCATTCTGGGAATGCACAGTGGACTGAGCTGTCACTAACTCAGGCTGGACTCTGCTCCCAGTTGTAAAACTGGTTAGCACACGTTTTAAGCAGTGGAACTCTCCTATTCTTCAGACACTTTGGGCTATCCCTGCTTCTTTTGAATGCATTTTCAATGCATGCAGCATTCTAGTGTTTCAGTAACAACCAAGACATTTCTGTCGGGCCGTTGGGAACTGTGTGACAAAGGAGCCACTGTCAGAGCTGTTGGCAGCCGCAGCACTTGGGGACAAAGGGAGATCTCTGATGAAGAGCAAGGGCTGCAGGGACGGGGAAGAGCTCCCTCTTCCTGGGGCAGGTGACTCTGTCAGGTACGTGGATAAACTGTACTTGGATTCCTGTCCCTGCTCCTCCCCAGCTGGTTCCCTGTGTAAATTCAGCAACAGGAGATGAAGAAGCAAAAAAACACCTAAGGGGTAGTAATGGAGCAAAGCTGCCTCACAGCCCAGGCAGTGCTGAGAGCAACCCTGAAGCCTGGCAGTGGAATTACTCTCACTTCAACCCTCTCTGATGCAGTTTGGTCATTCGAGTCATGATACAACTGAAATTATCCCCTGCAGCTGCCTCTTCCCAAAAAGTACCAGCTAATGGAGTATAACAGAGCTTTAGCTGTAAAGTGTTGAACAAAGTCTCTTATTTATGAGTGCCATTGAACACCAACCTTCTTGCATTAAATGCTTCTGGACGTGTTGTTTTATCACACGTGTGGTCTGACTTTTTTCCAGCGTTGTTTAAGTGGGGTGTGTGCTGCAAGATTGAGATCTTTGCACGTCAGATTAAAAGGACAGGAAAACATAGCTCAGCAACAGTTTGAATTCCAGCTTAGCCAGGGCTTGGTCCAATTTCTCCTGAGCAGCTGATATAAACCCTGTGGCCATTTTGGTGTTTTTAGAAGCCCAGCCAAGGCATGAATGGGCAGCTAAGCCCCAAGAGCCCTGTCACTCACATCCAGCTGGCTGGGCAGGCTGGCAGAGAGAGGAGTTTGTGCAGCTTCTATAAATAGTTCTTGGGTTTGAGCTTTTCATTAGGAACGAAACTCACATACTTGTAACAAGTCCCAACTGGAATGTTGTGCTTAAAATTGAAAGCACGGTGAGCAACGCAAGCAGCAACATCAAGGCTCGTCTTCAGAGTGTGGCTTGTTCACTCCTCAAAATTAAACTTATTTGTATGCTCCTCTCTTTCATCCAGCCCTGGCTGCAGAGCCAGGCTCCCCATGAAGTGTGCCATGTGTACATTGAAGCCTTTAATTGAGCCACAACCTATTTAGACGAGCATCCCCAAACCTGACGGGTGGGGAGTGCAGGGACAGCTGAGCAAACCACAAACCCCAGAGAATTCCCTCTAATTCCTTTGCAGAAAGCTGCAAAGTCTACAGGGATTGATGTGGGATTGCTGGTGTTTGTGCCCTCCTGCCTCTGTGTCCATGTGCTGTTTACTCCAGCCTTGCTTGCAGCAGTACAATCGACTGCAAGCCAAGCTGCATAACATGAGTGACTCTTAAACTGTTGGTCTTCTATGTTTTTCTTATGATAGTGAAAAAACCCAAATATAAATGGTAAAAAAACTAAAAGGAGATACTCTTTAATGCAACGTGCAGAGTTAGGGAGGTGCTGCCTTGCCCCTTGTCAAGGGCAGCTGCTGCCATCCTGTGGCACAACAAACATCTGCCAGCTGCTAAAAGCACTTTCTTTTGGTCTTTAATTCTAAATCCAGAATTAATATATCAGTAATGACCTGCTGTCCATATAGATTTCACCATCCACCATGGCTCTTTTTTGTTGTTTTGTTTATGTGTGGCAACAGGAGGAACTGAATGTTTGACATTTAAACTTTTCTTTTTAGCTATGCACAGCGGAAACCCAAGGTAGAGTTTTGGGAAGAAAAGCTTCCTGAAAACAGGCAGGACACAGAGCCTGCCTTGACCTAGTGCTGAAGAATTGTAGTACCTTGGCATTAAACAGGAATACAGTGATCATTTATTTAAGAACAGTTTTAATATCAGGGACTGAAACCACAACTTGAACAGTGTGAATGATCTCAGCTGGCTCTTCAGTGCTACAGAACTGGCCCAGTGAAACTTTAAACCCAGTTACAAATGAAAACTATGATTTATTTAAAAACCATCTGCCAAGACAACTTTTTCAGAACCAGCACAAGACCTGTTTCAGTACAGCATCAGAGGTCCCCAAGAGGGGACTTTGTGGTTCAAAGGGGATTTTTTGAGGAAACGTGTCAGTTTTTGTCATCATTTACCTTCTCCTTGTCATACACTGCTCTAGAACAGGAGGTTTGCTCTGTAAACACCTGTATGACATGGGAGTTAAAGAAGCAGCAGGTGAGGTTTACAAATACTGTGAGAAAAGTCCAGAGCCTGGGAAAGCTTAGTCTGCCTAAAAATTAAGTGTGGGCTTTGCACAACTAAACCTATGTGTATGCAGGGATAAACACTGGAAGCAGTGTACATTTAAGTGTTGCTATCATGCTAAAGAACCAGTGGTAACATTCATTTCAACAGTATTTTTGTTTCATTAGCCAAGACTTGCTTAATTCTGTCTAGGAGATACTAGGCCAGACCAAGCCATATCTAGAGCAGCAGCAATTCATGCAGAGCAATGACTTTTTTTTTCAGTTAAATATGTTCCAGGGAAACAGTTTAGTTAGAAATGGATGTGATATATGACAAAAAAACACCTCTAGGGATTATGTGGAGTCTGTTTTGGGGATTATGGGAGTGTTCTGTCCCCTCAGTCGCTGGCACAAAAGTCACTCATCACAAGTGCACGAGGAGTCTGGTTTATCACTAAGCAGAGCCTGTTACAGGAGTAAGCAAATGACAACTGAAGTCCTTAGTCCAGTTTTTCCCTTACAGAAACCTTTTGTTCACAGGTCTTATCTTTGAGTAAGTCGCCTTCAGCCCAGAGGAGATGAAATATGGTGTCTAACAGCACAGCAACTGCTCACTTCTGGCTTTCAGTCCCTTTAACTGGCCCTGGGGCTGAGCATCACAGGTCCCAGGATTTCAGCACCATCACAGAGGTGTTTAATTACAGGGCTACAGCTGGGAGCCTCATTATACAGTGTACAGGACTCCTCTCACCAAGCACAGGTGTTGATACCAGTGCACAAGCAGTGCTCAGCACAGGATCCACACTGGTACTGAAGCCCAGTGCTCTAAACCAAGTGCTGCATTAAGGACAACACTGGAACCCTTCTACTCTTTGAATTAGAACATGTCTTCCCATTCCACTGGAAGAATTAAATTTCAGAGCAAAGAACTTTGCTCAAGGGCAAGGCTCTCACACCCACCTGAGAGGAGGTGCGTTGTTAAACCTCCTCGGAAAATGTTTCTGTTAATGCCATGGGTGGTTTGGAGAACTGAGGGAGGAATCCAATCTTTTTGACTAAGTTTATTTTTCATTACACCTAATTCCCCATCTCTCCAAGTCTCCTCTGTACCTGAAGCAAATTTTTTTTTTCCTCTGGGTAAAACTGAAGTCGTATTACAGAAGCACTCCCGAGGAGAGGGCAAAGCTTGGTTTGTAACTAACTCAGGCCTAATTCAAAATTACTACAGGAACCTTCTGAGCCACAAGCCTCAAGGCAGACAACAGACCATCCCCGCTCCAGTTCACACACACCTTTGACTTCAGCAGAATCAAAGTGATGCCAGGAAGGAACTTGGACCATGAGTTTATAAAACTATTCTTTTACACAGTTGACTCCAGAAGCTTCACCAGTTGGTACAGGGACAGTGTGATGTAAAACCTGATGATCCCATCCAACTGTAGTGAGCAAGGCATCGTCTGAAGGAGACCAGGATAAGCCTTTAACAAAGTCTCGATGAGAACGGTTTCTGAACCTGGAAAACACCAACATTCCATTAGCCAGGAAACACTGAGAGTTTATGGGCTTCTGCAATTCCTAACTGCTAGGGTTTTTTTGGATGATGCTCCCCCATTTAGGAATATTTTCACCTCCAGGTTCCCAGAGAAGTTGTGGACTCCCCACCCCTGGAAGTGTTCAAGGTCAGGTTGGTCAGGGCTTGGAGCAACCTGGGCTAGTGGAAGGTGTCCCTGCCCATGGCAGGGGTTGAATGAAGACATTTTTAAGGTCCCTTCCAACCCAAATCACTCTGGGATTCTACAGATAAATAATTAACTTGAGAAGACAGTAAGACAGCCACAAGAGTGAACATGTTCTGCCTGTACTTACACCTCTGAGAGGTCTGAGTCAAGAACAGCAACTGAACAGTCTTCACTGATTGAAGCCAGTAAGGGTGAACTGGAGGACAGAGAGGAAACCATGCTTAGAACAATCAAATACACGAATTATTAGGGATAAACTTATGAAAAGTAGGATTCCTAGTGATCCTCACCCAGGTACAGTGAATTAAGAGGCACAAAATCTTACAAAAATGTTTTCACCGTTGTTTGGCAGGTTGTCAGTGCACTGAGAATATTTTATTAGAGTCAGAAAACAAGTGATCCTTCTTCAATCAGAGGTGGCTTTAATTAGAAAAATCCCCACAGCAAGTGGGTCAGTAGTTCTGAAACTGCAGAATTGTTCTCACAGATATTCACACGTGTCAAAAGTGAGATGTTGTTTGGTTTACTCTATTCTTTGCTACAATCTTCTTGATAAAAAGACAACTAGTACTTTCTTTTTTGTTTTACCCCCCAAAAATAATAAGGTTTTCAAGGGGATGCAGTCACATGTCCTACAGCAGTGTAGCAGACTGTACCTGTGTGCAGAGAATGCAAAGCCCGTGATGCTCCGGGCGTGCACGGTGGCACTGAGGGCAGAGTCAGGATTCTTTGTGTCTACTAGTGCAACTGTTCCACTTTCATCACCTTGAGCAGAGGGAGAAGGAAGTTAGGAGCAAAATGGTCACTGTGAAAACAAAAGAGCTTGACCTGCCCGGTGAAAGCAAAGGTTCTTACCCAAAACAAAGATGTCACTTTTCTGTGGATGCCACATGATTGAGGTAGGGAGGTAATTACAGGCACTGCAAACTGCAAGGGAAGAAATTGGGATGAGTGTGGAAAGAGTCAGAGTAAGAATACCTTTGTCCTATCTCATTTAGCACTGCTACAACACTAAGGCAAGTATTTTAAGCTTATTGTACTTCTGTGACAGTGTTAGACCTCCTTAGGTTTTAACAGGCTTTTCTAGGATCACATCACTAGATTGGGAGTTAGACACAGAAGTCAGGCACAAAATAATTTATTTCTTCCAACCCAAACTCATGCACAAGCAGTGGCTGTGTACAGAGACATACCAATTCGGGTAGCTGGTTTAGGGCATCTGGTGTCCCAGAGTAAAGTTCTGTTGTCCTATAAATCCAAAGGGAATAAAAAGGGTTTTACAATGTCTTTGTGGCATAAACTCACATTCACTACAGAACTGCTGCTGATCTCCAGTCAAAACCACCCCCTCCTCTTCCTTTGGGTTAAAATGATGCTGCCCTTAACTGCAGCCTTCAATCACACCCAGGACAGAACAAGGAGCTCCCAAAATTCAATACAGACCTGTAGGAATCAGCTCGGTAAGCTGATTATCAACTTATCAAACTGGAATACTCTACTAACTCAGGTATGCAGCTTGTAACACAAGAGGTGGTTTCTAAGTGCATTAAACTGTAAATAACTAAAATTAAATCTCATTTTTATCAGGCAGATTTAGACAACAGAGTGAGCTTTACCTCAGCACAGGACAGGAACACAGTGTCCTTACCAGGACAGGAAGCCACACATGTCACTGCCGCCGAGTGAGCTACCAAAGCACAAAAGGATAAAGAGCCTCAGAGATTGTATCCAACTTTCCTGTGTATTCCCAAGGACCTCTGAAGGGTCAGCAGCGTAACTAAGAACAGTTTATGCCCAGACACCCAGTAACTTCCACTCAGCAACAGCCAACTGCTTCCTACCAAAGCAATGAGCTGCCAAACCCAACCACGGGTGCCTGTGACACGGCTGAGCTTGAGGGAACATCTCCAGACAGGATCAAAGTGTGATGGAAGGGGGCTTGGAAAAAGGAGGGAGAGGGACATTTTCTATGGGCAGACAGTGATAAGACAAGGGGCAATGGTTTCAAACTAACAGAGGGAAGGGTTAGATGTGATATGTGGAAGAAATTCTTCCCTGGGAGGGTGGGGAGGCCCTGGCACAGGTTGCCCAGAGAAGCTGTGGCTGCCCCATCCCTGGAAGTGTCCCAGGACAGGTTGGACGGGGCTTGGAGCAACCTGGGCTAGTGGAAGGTGTCCCTGCCCATGGCAGGGGGTGGAATGAGATGAGCTTTAAAGTCCCTTTCAACCCAAACCATCCTGTGATTCTATGATTCTGAAGTATGGTCTCTGCTGTTCCAGAGATGATGACATCACATCTCCAGAGATCAGCATCTCAAATGGGCTGTTGTTCAAAACAAACATGGCTCAGTAGAAGAAAGATTTCAGTGCAGAAGAAATACTCTAAAATACACTTCAGGGATGCAAGGCAAACTAAACCTTACAGCATTTGTTCCATGGGGAGAAATGAACAACAGACTACAAAATAAAACTACGGCAAAAACTTCACAAGACTGGCAAATATACAGTCACAGCCCTGAGTGAGGTTTGGCAGGTGGGAGGTCACTGGAGATGCTGCAGGAGGAAGCTCAGCCTGCAGCAGGAGGTGAGGGGCCAGGAGGAGCAGGGCAATGGGGTGGTTTGGAACTCACCTCTGTAGGAGTGCAGCACCGTCTGCTCCGGGATGTCCCAGACCTTCACGCTGTGGACAAGAGCGAGCAGTCAGCACCCAGCACCAGCCCTGGGGCACTGGACACCAGGCTGGGGGCACTCACCAGGCTGGGGACACTCACCAGAAGTCCCTGCCCCCGCTGACAGCCTGGGTGCTGCCGGCCAGGACCGACACCGACGTGGCGATGTCGTCGTGCTCGTATTTACAGAACTTGTTCACGATGAGGGTCTCGTTCTCCTCCAGCTCCCACAGCTCCACGGCACCTGGGGGGTGTGGGGGGACACTCACCTCAGTGAAAGGGGAAGGGATACCCACCTATGACACCCACTTCAGTGAAGGGGAAGGGAGGGGACACCCACCCCAGTGAAAGGGTAAGAGACACCCACTTCAGATAAGAGGAAGGGGACACCCACTGCAGTGAAAACGTCCCCATGAGACAGGGAGAGGGTCACCCACCTCAGTGAACTGGGGATGTCACTCACCTCAGAGAAGGGGAAGGCAACACCCACCTCAATGAAGGGGAAGCGAGGGGACACCCAGCTCAGGGGAGGAGGGATGTCACCCACCTCAGTGAAGGCAGGGACAAGTGGTCAACCACCACAGAGAAGGGGAAGGAGGGGACACCTCAATGAAGGAGAAGGGAACACCCACCGCAGTGAAAAGGTAAGAAAAACCCACCCATGAGATGGGGAAAGGGTTACCCACTTCAGGGAAGTGGGGATGTCACCCATCTCAGTGGAGGGTGTCACCCACCTCTGCAAAGCAGGGGTGTCACCCGCGTCCGTGGAGGGGCAGGTGACACCCACCTCAGCGGGAGAGGGGACACACCTCAGCAAAGGATGGGGAACAGGGGAGAAGGGGGGGTATCCCCGTTGCTTACCGGAGTCGGAGGCCACCAGGATGCCCCTGTCCGCCAGCCAGCACAGGTCGGCCACCCCCGCCTCCGTCTGCACGCCGGCCGTGCAGAACCCCTCGCTCGGGGCGCGCCGGGGGTCGGCGAACACCCACAGCGACCCGGCCCAGCAGCGCCCGTTCAGCCCGGACGCGCCGAGCAGCAGGGCCCCGTCTGCGGGAGAGAGACAACGAGAGACACACCAAGGGAGCCATGAGGGGACCGTCTGGAACACCCCGGACACCCCTCACGCCGCTGCCTCCCCCCCCCCCGTTACCTGCGCGGTACCGCGCGCGCTCCAGGTGCCGCTCCATGCAGGCGGGCGCGTTGGGCGGGATGTTCCACTCGGGGCCGGCCGCGGGCGCGGGCTCGCCGTCTACGGGGGCCGGTGGAGCCGCCGCGTCCCCCGAGGGGGCCGTGGGGAGCTGCGGGAGCTGCGGGAGCGGCGGCTCCTCCATGGCGGGAGCGGCAGCGGGAGCGGAGCCGGCGGCGCCCCCCACACGTGTCTCCCGCCGCCGCCTCCTCTCGCGAGAGCGCCCGCCTCCCCGCCCTGCCTCTGAGCGCAACTCTCGCGAGAGTTCCTCCGCCGCCATCTCAGCGCTGAGGCGGCCGGGCGGTCACCGGGACGAGGGGTCGCGTCCCGCCGCTCTTCCCGCTGCTTTCCCGAGGATTCCCGCTGCTTTCCCGCTCCGGCCATGCTCTCCCGCCTCGTCCTCCGCGCCGGTGAGTGGCCGGGGGTGGCGGGCGGGGGGTCGTTGCTGTGTTTGGCCGGGCTCTGCCCTGACGCGCTCTGTGCCCTCTTGTCCCCCCAGCCCCCGCCGCGCTGAGGGCGCTGCCGCCGCCGCCCGTGGCCGTGGGGTGAGTACTGTGGGAGCCTCTCGGAAACCAGCCTCTGTTTGTGCTTAAGCAACGTTATTCTGGGGGTTTGTCTTCATTTTTCTTATTAACGCTCTGTGAGTGTAAAATAGGGACGGTGGGAAGGAACCTCTGGAGGTTATTTAGTCCCACCCACTTCCTGGAAGGAGGTGCGTCCAATGAATGGCAGCTTCATCGAATCACAGAATAGTTTGGGTGGGCAGGGATTTTAAAGCTCATCTCATTCCACCCCCTGCCATGGGCAGGGACACCTTCCACTATCCAAGCCCCGTCCAACCTGACCTTGGACACTTCCAGGGATGGGGCAGCCTCAGCTTCTCTGGAGAACCTATTTTAGTGCCTCACCTGTTACCTGCTTATTTGATTGGAAATCTCTTTGAGCCTCATTTGAGAGTGGTTTTGGGGATTATTTGTGTCTGGTTTTTTAATAAGAGCCATAATTGAAACTTTTTGTTGTTGTTTATAGTGTGCTGCACGCCACAAGACAAGTACACACAACTCAGCAGAGTTTGGCTCCTTTGCCACCTCTGCCTGAGAAAGGAGGAGAAGTTCGTCATGGTTTGATCCCCGAGGAGTTTTTCCAGTTTCTCTACCCTAAAACAGGAGTCACAGGTTAATATAGGCTATTTTACTGTTTACTAATACAGGTTTTAACTTTCCTATATTGCTTTTACCATTTTTAGTTATGTAGTTCTGTCCACCAGTTCTGGCTGCTGAAAAGGTAAAATATTAGTGGAAATTAGTTTTTTTGCATGTGCAGGTTGTGAAGGACAACCCAGTGCTGCACTCCTGGCTCTGAAGTCAGACACTTTAAAAAAATACCATGAGCCTGATTTTGTAGGAAGATTTAGTTGCCTCTTGGTTGTCAAAACACTTGAACAGGGATTTTTGCCTGTTTCTGAGTGAGCAGAAGCAGCAGTGCCAGGTGCAAGTTGCTTCCATTTCTGGTGAGATTCCTCCTGGCACCTTTCCCTGAGTGGAACTGCGACTCTGCTTTTTGTCCTGGAAAAAGAGAACACTTCCTGATTTTATAAGCCTTAAACTGGCTCCCTCTCAGGTGTTTGAATTTATTGAGTTTCTTCATGCCTTGTACAAATAATGCTGCTTTATTTTTTTTTTCTTTAGGGCCCTACATGCTGGGAACTGGCCTCGTGCTTTACCTGCTTTCCAAGGAAATCTATGTTGTTAACCACGAGACAGTGGCAGCTGCTTGTATATTGTCAGTCATCATTTATGGCATCAAGAGATTCGGGCCTGATGTGGCAGCTTTTGCTGACAAACTTAATGAGGTAACAAAAAAACCAGAATCTGACTTTGTAGTAGTTAATAAGGAGTGGTTTTGTTAAAGTATAAACGGATTCAAACTGGCAGAGGGCAGGGATGGGTGGATATTAGGGAGAAATGTGAGGGTGGGGAGGCCCTGGCACAGGTTGCCCAGAGGAGCTGTGGCTGCCCCTGGATCCCTGGAAGTGTCCAAGGCCAGGTTGGACGGGGCCTGGAGCAACCTGGGCTAGTGGAAGGTGTCCCTGCCCGTGGCAGGGGCTGGAATGAGATGAGCTTTAAGGTCCCTTTCAACCCAAACCATCCTGGGATTCTGTGATTTTGAACCCTAACTCTGCTTTGCCACCCTGGAACCTCAGCCCTGGCGCAGGGCAGTTCACACAGACATTTCTCAAATCTTAATGCACCATTCCAGAAGTTAATTGCAGGTTGTTTGCCTTCAGCCTGACTTTCATTCTGAAGGGTGTTTCTTGCTTCTTCTTCCAGGAGAAAGTAGCCAAAGCTCTGGCTGTGAAGAACGAGGCCATCGAGGGTCTCCAGAAGGCCATTGAGGCGGAGAAGAAGGAGCAGTGGCGGGTCGAGGGCCGCTCTTACCTCTTTGATGCAAAGAGGGTACGTGGTGCCAGCTCTGCTGCCCTCCCCCCTGCAGCCTGCCCTGCCCAGTCTGGGAGCCTCTTGTACTCCCAGCGAGTTACAGACTGTTTGCTGTCTGTGTGGTGCACACAGGGCCACTTCCACCACCTGACCCAGAGACTCAAAGGGGGGAGAAGGACTTTTTATATGGGCAGATAGTGACAGGACAGGGGGGAACAGCTTCAAACCGAGGGAAGGGTTAGATTAGAGATTAGGAAGGAATTGTTTACTCAGGGGGTGGGGAGGCCCTGGCACAGATTGCCCAGAGAGGTGCTGTCTGTCCCATCCCTGAAGTGTCAAAGGCCAGGTTGGACTGGACTTGGAGCAACCTGGGCCAGTGGAAGGTGTCCCTGCCCATGGCAGGGGGGTAGAAGTGGATGATCTTTAAGGTGTTTTCCAGCCCAAACCATCCTGTGATTCTGTCCCTTTTGCTACAGAACATGTTCTGCTGCTGCTTTGTGTTCTTGCCAGACATTAACCTCCTGACTTCATCTGCTTGTGCAGAATAACGTTGCGATGCTGCTGGAAGCCAACTACCGGGAGAGGATGATGATGGTGTACAATGAGGTGAAGAAGAGGCTGGACTACCAAGTGGCCCTGCAGACCCTAAAGAGGCAGAAGGAACAGGATTACATGATTCAGTGGGTGGAGAAGAACGTTATTCAGAGCATCACACCCCAACAGGTATTTGCTGTTTTTTATCTGCTTTACATTTTAGTCTGTACAAAGATTTGCTACAAAGGATTCTAATTTAAGCCAGGAGATGATGGGTGTCCTTGGGTGACTTCCAAATGTGGCTGCAGCACATTCCTGCTGCTGAGGAATAGCTAAGGAGCCCAGTTCCTGGGTACCAGGTGCTTTTGTTGCTGGGATTTAAACTAGAATTGTGTGTAGCATTTGTTGCTGCAGCTCAGAGCTGAGCTGTGATGAGATGTGCAGCTCACAGGGCAGGGGACTCAAAGTTCTCTGTGTAGGACCTTGGCAGATCAAGGTCTGCAGGTGGGCTCTGGATGTCCTTGCTTTTAAGGAAAGAAACAGAACAAAATCAAGTTCCCAGCACTGTGTGCTTTTGTTACCCAGAGCAGCTGTGGCTGCCCCTGGATCCCTGGAAGTGTCCAAGGCCAGGTTGGATGGGGCTTGGAGCAACCTGGGCTAGTGGAAGGTGTTCCCTGCCATGGAACTGGATGAGCTTTAAGCTCCCTCTGAACCCAAACCGTTCTGGGATTCCATGACTTCCATTCCCGCTTCAGTGCAGGTCCTTGTTTGGATGTAACCTCTGATTTCGTTACATCCCTTTAAATCTGTAACTCAGGGGTGTGAAAAAGGATTATCTAAAATGCACTAAAAATCTAGTTTGCTTGAGATGTGTGCTGAGAGCTGTTTTCCCCTCTCTTGCAGCAGAAGGAGAGCATTGCCAAGTGCATCCTGGACCTGAAGGCGCTGTCCAAGGGCGCACACGCAGCAGTGTGACCTCATCTGAGCCCACTGACATGTTTCAGTGCATTGCTGGTGGAAACTATGAGTCTAAAACATCATTAAACAAACCAAACCCAACCCCTCTGCTGTGTTTCACTGCCAACAGTCGTTGCCTGGTTGTGTTTGAAGTTGCTGGATGGGTCCCACCAACCACTGCTGTTTAGAGGGGGGGATTAGTTGCAGCCACAGTGTGTGTTGGATTCCTGGTGTGGTCATGAACACTTGCAGAGATCAGATACACAACTTCACAGAGACAGATTCTGGTGCTCAAACTGATCTCTGGGTTAGAATTCTCTGTGATAACAACCCACAGATACCTGCTGTCATTGCAAACATGTTCTAAAATCGGTGATTTGTGCTGCCTTTGACCTGGTCCTGGACTTGGAGGGGCTCTGAATGAATGTCCTTGTTCTCAAAATGAGCTGAAAACCCCTTTTTCACAACAAAGCTTTGTGTAGTGATGAAAGTGTTCTGGTTCTGGGAAAAGAGTGATCTGGCAGGAAATATGTCAAAAGCTACCGGAAAACATGACTTCAGTATTAAGTTTGAAACAGGGAAATGGGTGAGTTTAGAGGGTGGGATTTTTCTGGATTTTCATAGGAGAAAAAAAAGCTGTTGGTTTGGTTTTTTCCTTGTGCATCAAGAGAAATAATTCCATATCTGTTATGATAAAATACACAGAATAAACCTCTTCCATTTTCTTTCCAAAGGAAACTTTTCCCTGCAGGATTTTGTTATAACTCAAATATCTCAGCTGAGCAAAGCACTGACCTGTATAAGTTCATCCTTTGTGTGCTGGGCAGTGATTTATTTAGTACATGAACTGCAGTGAGCAGAGGGGGGTGTGCCCAGTACCCACTTCTTTAAGAATTGCTGCAATTCTCAGTGGGGGAAAAGTGAGTTTTCTCCACTTTTCAATACAACAGCACAAAAAAACGTGGTTTTTGGGGTCAGAACCTGACTTTTAAGGCAGTCTAAACTCAACCTGCCTTACTTTTTTTAACTCAACAGTTCCAGAAAATGCAGGTGCATAATTTCCTGTCTTGTGATAATTTAAATAAGAAAAGTGAAGTTGCTCAACTTCCACATTTTTGTAACCCCACGTCTCAATGACATTGGAGCTTTTAGCTGGTGTGACAGATTCTTTGCACAAAGCCAAGTGGTTGAACTGGTGTGCTGGCACCCCGGGAGTTCTCCATGGTGGGAGGTAAGATGGAGCTGTATCATTTCTTGTTCCTTTAGTTCTTGCAAACACAAAACTGTGAGGTTTGGGGTTGGAAACTGGGAGCTCTTCATGGTTTGAGTCCTCTGCAATGTGGGCAACAACGGGGTGCAGTAGGAAAAGTGGCAGCAGCAGAGTTTATTGTGATATTTTCATGTTGTGATATTTTCATGTTGTGATATTTTCATGTTGTGATATTTTTCACATTATTCACAACCCGCATATTGCAAACCCATGTGGTGAGAAATACCAGGGTAGGGATTTTGTAGTAGACTGTCTTTAAGACTCCCTATCTTTTAGCCCTCTCTTCAAGATTCCACCCCCAAATTTGGGAAGAAACTTACTGTTCCTGCCTTGGTGGGAAGAGTCAATTTAACTTGAGAAAGGAAAACATCAAGGGAGGAATTTTTCAGAACTGCTGATTATGAAAAAGTTCACAAAGTGGACTGGGGTTTAGCTCTTGCAAAAATAATCCTGTGGGTGCTTTTTAAGTCTTAAATATCCTCCATTTTTGGGGGAAGAAGGCAACGTGCCCATCAGGGCGTAGTGACCACATGTGCCAGGAGCGAGACACTGGGAAGCAGGATTGCTGCTGAGGAACTGCTGGGTTTGTGTGGCTTTGTGCCAGTTTTATAAGATTCCTAAAAAAACGGATAAAAACTAAATCAAGTCTTCGAGTTAAAAGAGGGCGACAGGTTTGTTTTGCTTACATACCTGTATATATAAATACAACTTTTTTCCCTCCCCTCCTTTCAGCTTCTCTTCCTGTCCATTAGTGCTTGGAGAGAATGGGAGGCCGTTCCTCACAACCAGGTATTTTAGTTTTTAGGCAGTTTTTTTTAGCTGCAGTGTTCTTGCCTGAGCTGATGTTGTCCTGACCCCAGGGCTGCTGTGGGGGTGTGTGGAAGAACTGCATGGCTGCCAGAGGCTGCCCTGAGACAGTAATGACATGAACAACTGCATTTTCCTGTCTGGTGGTTCCACTTTCAGCCCCCTGATAGAGAGAATTATACACAAAATAACACTGCCCTGGGCAGACACGTGCCTGAATGTAGTTCTTGTTGTTTGGAGAAATTTATATGTTTTAAAACCAATATTTGATAATTTATTTTTTTCTGTTCCAGTTACACCCACTTCTACTACTCCCACTGTCCCCACCACTGTCCATACCACCATCCACACCACTGTCCACACCACTGTCCACACTGAATTAGAAGCTTCACAAGTTAAATGCTGGTTTGAGAGGTAAATGCTCCACCTTTATTTCCTGCCCCCAAACCCTGAGACTGCAGCCTCCTTCTGCAAGGGAGGGGGTTTATGTCACATATTTAATGTCCTGGGGGGTTAAAAAGTTCATTGCAATTTCCTAGTCTCTGCACTAGTGATGCTTAAGGCAGATATGCACCTTTTCATCTCGTACTGCTTGGGATAAATGTGTTAACACTCCATAAAGTTTGGTGAATTTGAGCACTGCTGATGCTCCAACACCTCTGTTAAAACTGGGGCTTCTGACACGATTTTCTGTGTATGAACAGTCGTGAAATACTGTACATGTCACTGGCCTTCATCTCTGGCATCCTCCTGACTGTCCTGGTTTTTGCCATCATCTACCTCTCCAGAAAAAGTAAGTAGCACAGAGGAGGGAGTAACAGCAGAGTGGTGGTAACTACAGAAGTTACTTTGAAATTTTAAAATTGTGTCTGCCTGGAGTAACTCCTGCCAATAACTCCTCAGGGGCTGTTTTCGTGGGAGAATTAACTTGACCACTGATGAGCTGGGGAGGTTTTTGTTGGTCGTGGGTTTTTCTCATCCCAACCCTGGCCACACTAAATTCTCAGTCCCTTTCATCCTGGCCACTTCCAGCAGGTGGGCAGGGACTTGGCAGCCCAAAATGCCCACTTTGCAGGGCAGGTCTGTGACAGATTTTACAGGTTATGTGTCTGTCACCCACCACCAAGCCTCTCCAAACCCAGTGCAGACAGCTGAGGCTGCTCTCCCTCTCCTTCCCAGATTGCAAGAAATCCCACCAAAATTTACAAGGGGAAGTTTGCTTCCAGCAAACAGCACCTGGAGAATGTGCCAGGAACACCCAGGTAAAGGTCACAACTGTTATTTCTAACCTTTAATGCAGAGACTTCACATTCTTGACAGGGTGGTGAATATTAATTTGGGGGTGGGAGGGAGAAAAGTCACTTGCTTGAGAGACTTGAGTGTTAGTCAGGAGTTCTTTTGACTAAGGAAAAGGGCTTGCTTTGGGCATCCAAGGCTTCAGCCTGTGTTTATAGAAATATAGGGATGTACTGAGGAGGTCCCTGGGCACTAGGAGGAAAAATACAGAGCTGAAACACCATATTATACTCCCCATGTATTTCAAGGGTTTAACTAAACCTCTGATTAGGCAGTTTAGGAGAAATCTTTTTAAAAGGCAAGGATTTCTGCAGTTTGCCTTTGTGATATTAATTCTTTGGTAAATTTGAGACTGACTAACCACTGGCACAAACCAGCCTAGTGTATATTAATTTCCCCTGTGTAAGGACAGACTGTTTGTGGTGTGTGGTGTTGAGGACAAACTAAAAGTGGTAAATTCCTGCTGACAGGCAGTGCTTAAACACTGTAATGTTTGTGGCTTCTCTCCCATCCTCAGAACGAGGTTACCTACAGCACTCTGGTCTTCCAGCGGAGTCAGACACCACTGGCTGTGTGATGATGAAGTTCCAAGAGAAATAAAAATGTTTTTTTCCACTTTCTGAACATCAAAAGCCACCAGAACGTTACACCAAGGCCTGCAGTGCCCTGAGGGTGCCAGCACTGCCATCTGTAACATCAGCTCTTTTTATAGGTACAAGGGGAAATGCAGGTCTCCCGTTCCAAACCGATTGCCAAAGGTTGTGGGCAAATTGAAGGTGGTTTGGTTTTTTTTTTTTAATACAGTATTTCCTCATCTGTAGAAATCTCCCTGCACTTGTAAAGTTTCTGTTACTGAGCTACCAAAGAGAACTGCATCTATCCACGTCTGGGCCCTTGTGTTTCCCTTTTCTGTCACCAGCCATGGCACTTGGCATATTTTTTCGATTGCCAAGTGCTCTGATTAGTTATTTTCTGTTATTGAGGAGATGATAATGAAATGTCTGTGTGCAAATGCTGCTTCCTGATCGGGTCCTGTAAAAGCAATGCACCATCACAGCGTGACAGCCAAAATCTCTCATTCATATGTTATTACCCACAATGTTCTAAACACGTTGTAAAGAGGGAAAAAATCATCCCTTTGTCATCAACTGGGGAACAAGTTACCACGAGTGACTCTGAGCAGCCACAGAGAAGCTCCTCTGCACGTTCCCACGGATGGGAGGTTTGTCATCCCGGGGAGTTTGGGGATCTCCAACTGCTCAAGGCTGAATGGGAGGGATGTTTCCTGCTGGCTCAGCCCTCGGGGCCTCAGAAACCTCCTTGTTTGTGGTCACCAGAGAGTGCCAGACTCTTGCAGGTACTTCTGCTTTCTGAGAACGCTGATATTTGCATGCGTGCTGTTCAAACACTCCTCCAGCCCTACAAACTCCTGTGAGCTGCGGCTGAAACATCTGAGAGGCTTCAGAGGAGCGATGCTGGATGTGCCACCTGATGGCAGCACCAAGCCGTGCCTGGGCTGGGTTTAATTCCGCTTAAACTCGGGGCTCTGGTGCCTTTCCAGCCCCGCTCAGCAGAGCAAGGGCTCCACCTCTGCCACCCTCGGTGGGTTGTCCTGTCTCCTCCTCCCAGCAGCTGCTGGAGGTCCAAGGGACCACGTGAAAAAGTGTGGCTAAACACTTCTATGTTCTGAAATTGGGTGTGTGGTGGTGTGGGTCAGGCCACAGACTGTTCCACGGTACAGCCCATGGTCTTTGCTTTGCTGTTATCTGCTCTCATCTCAGTCGTGGCAGTTTCTTCAAGTTCTATTTAAGAGAGAAAAATACCATATTACTCCTTAGTATTTTTAGCTGTGAAGAGATTCATAAGTGTGTTTGTGCACGGTGTTTTTTAATTTAGTTCAATTTTTGTTTAAAATTAATAACAGAGGGAAATAAGGTCTGAAGATTTACCTGGCTTGAACAAAGGTTACTCCCCCACACCAATAAGTTAGAAAAACAAAGGGAGGTGGCTCACCACAGGCTTCCCCCTCCTCGAGCCCAGCTCGGGGATGTTGGGTTTTCATGCAGGTGTTTCCTCACTGAGACTCAGCACAACCATTTCATGTCCACTGTGAAACGCTGCCAACCCCAGCACAGCCCTTGTGTGTGTGTACCTGGGGGGCTGAGTGTGGCACAGCCCTTGGGAGGTGACACAGAACCTCTTTGTTGTGTGGCTGCTGCTGAGCCCCAAACTCATCCCAGAGCATCCCTCTGTCTCTCCCTTTCCTGTGCCAAGAGCTCTGTAGGGTCATACACAGCTTGTAATGGCAGCAAACTCTTAAATAAAATTCCTGTAGCTCCAGGAATTTGTGACAAGTGCATCTGCT